TGATTCTGTGAGAGTCAATTTTAACACTCCATTTTTTGCTGTGTAGACATGGACCGAAAAGTAAAAAGTACTTTTCTTTATGGTGTGAGACCCACTGAAGACATTTCATTTGAGTTTCCTTTACAACTTTAAGCAATACACAAAAAAGGCTAGATAAAAAAGAATAAATAAACTGAATCACTTAAAATCTGCTAAATTCTTTATCAAAATCACTACATTTCTAAAAACATCTGTAAAATACTACCACCTTGTGATGTCATGAAGCAGTAGTTTTCAAGTTAATGGCCACCTTTTACCTTTTTTTTTTCAGTAGAGATTGGCAGTTCCAGGGCTGAAATCATCCAAATTATTATTATTATTATTAAATGAAGGTGTATGGAGTTTAAAAGCACACTGGAGCACCTCCTGTATTACCACATGACGTCACAGGGTAGAACTCTGTTGTATCCAGGTCTGTTTGTGATGAGGAAACAACATTATAACATAGATCAGAAAATAGTGTAATATGGTCTCTTTAAATGTCAGTAACAGGCAAAGAAAGTGACTACTAGACTAAACAACTTGACTTCATAAAAAAGCCAAACTGTGAGCCACGATACGCAGTAGATGTGTTCAAATCAAATAAAGCTGTTACCAGTGGTGGAAGAAGTACTCACTTTTTGTTACTAAAGTAAAAGTACAGATACTGAAGAAAAAAAAAAAGAAAAGAAAAAAGTAAAGTAAAGTAAAAGTATGTTCTGTTGCTTCTTGTTTCAGTTCTGGAATTGTTTTGATCTATTAGCCTAATCTGAGTCTTTAGGTTATAGTACTAACAAAAATAACCAGGATTCAGACAGATTTAAAGTTGAGCTCGAGCTGCTGTCGCTCCTCAGATCGTGGCTCATGGTCGTGGCGTGTTGCTGCTCTCCACTGGCCGCCTGTGGTACTGCAGCAGAGGGAAGCTCAGTTCACTCTTTTATATGGAGATTATTGACACTGATTTAATGAGAGCTTTATGCTGGAATAAAGGCTTTAGAATGACACAGCGGCCCGGGTTAAGGCTTAAACTAAGTGAAGCAAAGGCCACGTTAAAAGTATTTTCATTTACACGGAATGACTCATACAACGTAATAACATTTCTGCTGAGACAGGTGAAGCTGTTATAGGGGACGCTCCACAAGAGAAGTTATACAGTGGAGCTTTCAATGTCTATAAAAATATATACAACTGGAACTTTACTTTGGATTTGAATGTATGGAAGAATTACAGATCAAATAAATGTTTTGTTGTGGAATATTATAAAATGTCCGTGATAAATGGGGAGAATCAAAATTAGCAATTTTGCAGTATGTGCAGCCCTACTATATATATATATATATATATATATATATATATATATATATATATATATATATATATATATATATATATATATATATATATATATATATATATATATATATTAGTGCTGTCATGCGATTAAAAAAAATTATGATCTGTAATTAATTAATCTAATTAATCTAATTTTAATCTCACCTAAAAATTGCTGAGAAAAGCCTTCAATTTGAGGTATTTTCATTTAAATTCATTATTACATTATTGTGGCAGATCAAAAGACTGATATAGATTTTAAAAAGTGACTTTATAAAGTAATTTATTGTTTAACAAATCTCTCCAAATTGGCTGTTGAGCCCAAGTCTCCATGAATAAGAAACTGTTTGCTGTAAAGCAGCAAAGACGAGGAAATCTGAACATAAAGACTTTTGTTTACTTAAAGACAATAAAAAGTCCAGTCTTTCCTTAACCATATTAAAAATATTATTGATAGAGAAATGCTTTATATATGAGATCACTGGTTTTAGTCCTGGTTTAGACCTGGTTTAGACCTACTTTAGTCCTAGTTTAGTTCTGGAATGGATTAATCCTGGTGTTAGTCCTGGTGTTAGTCCTGGTGTTAGTCCTGGTTTTAGTTCTGGTTTTAGTTCTGGTTTTAGTTCTGGTTTTAGTCCTGGTTTTAGTCCTGGTTTTAGTCCTGGTTTAGTCCTGGTTTAGACCTGGTTTAGACCTGGTTTAGACCTGGTTTTAGTTCTGGTTTTAGTTCTGGTTTTAGTCCTGGTTTAGTCCTGGTTTAGTCCTGGTTTAGACCTGGTTTAGACCTGGTTTAGACCTGGTTTAGTCCTGGTTTTAGTTTTCTGGTTTAGACCTGGTTTTAGTTCTGGTTTTAGTTCTGGTTTTAGTCCTGGTTTAGTCCTGGTTTAGACCTGGTTTTAGTTCTGGTTTTAGTCCTGGTTCAGACCTGGTTTTAGTTCTGGTTTAGTCCTGGTTTAGACCTGGTTTAGACCTGGTTTTAGTCCTGGTTTAGTTCTGGTTTAGAGGCGCACAGGAGGAAGCTCGGTTTACGCCGCGAACGCGAGAAAACACGATCCACACGCGGCTCACGGGAGCACGTCGGTGTCCGCGCAGTAACTACGGAAGGAAACGTGGTCCGCTCGTTCTCAGGTTAATGACGATGATGAAGGTGTGTGTTTGTTTGTGTGTGTTTGTGTGTGTTTGTGTGTTTTGTGTTGTGTTTGTTTGTGTGTGCGTGTCCCCTCATGTGGCAGGTCACTATAGGACAGTAGTGCAGACATCATGAGCCTATGCAGGTTGTTTTCAGGCGATATTATATTTGTTATTTTCTTTTATATTTCACGTCGGGAGAATAATTTCCAAGACACGAATGTGTTTTTACCTGTGCACTGCTGACTCTGTTCTACTGGCTCTTCCACCTCGTCCATTGTGCGACTGACGCCGCCAACGTTAACATGACGTTTACATCGCTGTTACTGTGCGCGTTTTGTGTGGGTTTCCGGCAATGAGTGGAATTACCGAAATAAAAAAATGTATAAATGTGTTTTTTGTTTGTGCGTGTGTGTGTTGTTGTCCCAACAACACATAAAAACAGGTTTTATAATAAAGAAACTCACATACAGAAACACTAAAGTTAGAGATTAAAAATGAGATTAACGCAATTAAAAAACATAACGCCCTAAATATGACTGTAATTAATTAATCGCAATTAACGCGATAATTTGACACCCCTAATATATATATATATACTAGTATATCCTACTATATTATAACTTACTATCCTATACTATGCTATACCATACACTATACCTGAGGTGGGAACATGAGTCATTATTTTGAGGCTTTGAGACTTAACTTGATCAAATGACTTTGACTTTGATTTGAAGGCTTAAATGACTCAACCTTAATTCTTCGGATTATGACAATAATGATTCACACTAAGGTTTTGTCAAGGCATTTAAAAAGTAAGACAGTCACACTGTCACACTGGGAAAGTTGTCACACTACATTTTTTTCAAAAACAAAAGTGAAATTGCAGATTTGTGTTTTGGAGTCTGCACTTCTGTCCTGAATTTGAACTAATTTGATCATTGTTTGCCTGACATATCTCCAGAAAAGCATTTTTCATAGTCAGTATTTTTTTTTACATGCAATATTTTGTTTTAACTTTCCAAAAATTTAAATAATGTAGTAAATACATATTTAAATACTTAACTTTTTAATGATCAGTGAAACCGATGAGATGAAAATAACTTTAGCCACAGCATAGGGAAGTGCCCCTGGGGGGTTTGGGGCAAGTTGTCCCATAGCTAAACTCCTCTTTAAAAACAAAACCTCACCCAAATCAGTGGATAATGTTCTATTTTTAATAAGGAGGGTTTTTTTTAGTGACACTGAGTCATTTTGACACCAGTGTGAGCTCTAAAACACAGTTCACTGTGTTTGGTCAGAATGGCTCACTCTGACCCAAACCAGAGGTTTGGACTTTAAATGCCCCATCACATTGTGCCCCCATGACACTGTGCCCTCATCACACTGTTCCCTCATTGCTTAAATGAATTTTTTGTATAAACAATTATTATATATCCCCAAGACAGAATACACAGTCTTCATAAAAATATAATTAATTTTAGTTTTAAAAATGATTGATGAAGATGAGTATGACGACGACTTACCCCGTGATGGGGCATGTTGTTGTCACAGTCATCCAGCCTCGTATTTGAACTCTTATAACTCTGGCTGTGAACAAGACAGAGACATAGAATGAAAAGACCAAAAACAGCCCAGATGTTTTCTTTCATTTGGTGTACATACTACATTTCTGCTGTTTTCTGTTGAGACAGATAAAATGAAAAAAGTGTGACAACATGCAGTTGTCTCCCCTACAATTTAGTTTAAAATGTATAAGTATATAAATTAAAACAATGCAAACTGTATTTCAGTACTTCGGACTAAGGACTTGAAATGAAGCTCAGAGGACTTGTACTCAGCTTGGACTTGTGGCCCACTGACTCAGGACTTAACTTGTCTTAACTTGGACCTTAAGTCCAAGTTAAGACTTGCAAAGACTTGAGACTTGTAAAACAACTTGGTCCCACCTCTGGCAATTTCTGGGTTTCAGATGACATCACTACATCCTATGGGTCAATAGGCCAATATCATGGCAAAGTGCAGTGTTATCAGCAGGGAAGTCTGGCTCTTGCCCCCATCTGGAAGTATGACATGATCACATTGTAGGATCTGAAAACCACCGATACTGATAACAATTCTACAACTGATTTATTCTGAGTTATAGAAATATTGCATATGCTGCTTATTTTATAACTTGGGGTTTTATTTATGTTGATGATCCAGTCAGAACGAGCCTCACACAGATCTCTAATTTGGGGTGCAAGTTTCATTGCTGAAATAGTTGAATCCTGAAATGCTTTTGACATAAATTCTCTCCATTTAAACCCTGGCACCTGTAGGCAAACATCAGTGCTAGTGCAGCCTCTGTAGCTGCAGTTTATGCATCTATATAGTGAGATTGACAAAACCCTGGTATATGTCCTTTATAAGGCTGGCAACTCAGGATCAGCTGATTGCAATAACATGTTTTAACGTAAGCACAGGCTTCATACTAACCTTCCCAAAGTGCTGCACCAATGCACGATAGACAAGAGTCTGAGTAACAAACTATTACCATTTATTGTTCACAGTAATAGGACAGAAGATATACAAAAAAAACGTGGTGTGAATGTTCTCCAAACCTAACATAACTTAAATTCAATTGTTACCTAAAGACAAGTTCTATAGCTTGAGTTTATAGAATATCCAAGAGACAAGTGGACATTATCTGCATCTGCTACGGCTCTGCAGCAGCATAAACAAACACTGAGCAGTGCCCATTTGGTCCAAAAACACTTTATTTACTAGATACATTTCAATTGAGGGTGACATAGTTGAGGTAATCCATTCATGAACTTTCACACCACAAGCTTTCTCTCAACAGATGCTCAAGATAGACATGGATACATGACGATTTAAAAGTAGTTACCAAACATAGAAAATAGGATTACCGATGCTGGCAATGTTTATCAGAAATAATATTTAAGAAAGTGACTTAAATAGCTGAGCTCCTGCAGATTTAAAATGGTTTAAAACTAAAAGATTTTGGCATTGGGTTTTGTGAACATGCAGAAGTTAAATTGACCTCAAGGGCAGCTTTTCCTTTGGACGCCGTGATCAAACAATTTGTTCAAGTAAAATTGAGTTATAAAATGACCCTGCTTGTCAGAGTTCAGAATTAGCACCTAATGAAAAAGCCGCCATCTTCAAAACCGTAAAATTACTTCTGCCCGTTATTTAACCAGAAGAACAGGGAAATAGAAAGCCAGAACCAAGTAAAAACACCATTACAACAAGTTTGAGAAGTCTCTCCACCATGTCCACTTAGGAGTACACCCCTCCGGTCTGTTGCTGAAATACATCAATTGTGTCTTCATCCTCCATTTCCAACTGCAGAACAAAAGACTCATTACAAAGTGTCAACAAAAAAGTGTAAACATGAGTGGAACAGGTTTAAACATTTTTATTTGTTTATCATCTTTACTACATTCAGGTTGAAGTATTGTTCAAACCAGCAGAGTAACTATATCCAACATGTCTATGAAGAATTAAACAACTCAGTAACTAATAATATAGTTTCTACATCTGAGAAAACAACTAAAAGCATTTTTCTCCCTAAAGTCTAAGCATCAGCTGTGGGGTGTGCAGGGATGTGCTGGAGCTCACCTGTGCAGGTGTGTCTGTCTCGTTGATTGGCTGACCATCAAATCTAAAACGAATCTGACGCATAGACAAACCCTGCGCACAGAACAGGCTCGTGTTAATGAATGAACACACGAGTTTATGTTGACACAGACGCTCTGCTCCTGTGTCTTACCTGCCGTTCACAGTACGCCTTCATGAGTTTACTGAGCGGAGTGTGCCTCTTGATTTTAAACTGTACGACTGATCCGTCTTGTCCGGCCACCTTCAGGTTGATGTGGTCATTCTCCGTCTTCACGCCTTCCTACAGCGGCACAAAACAACACAACACGGTTAGCATTAGCATCTCACACACCGCCGATCAAACAAACCAGCCCCGTATTTCAGCTCTTTGTGGAGGCCAGACGCAGCGCACGCCGCTAAATATAGGGTCCATCCGCTGTTAGCTTAGCATGTTAGCCCAAACTGGCGCAGACAGAACGCCACAATGGCGCAAATGGAAGGGAAAACTGAAACCGTGTTTAGCACAACCACAATCTCCAGACCGTTAGAATGTGCACCACAGGACCACATCAGGTCTCAATGACAAATAGTCCATTCGGAAATGCATGGAAAAGGAACAAAATAAGATAAAATTGTGCAAATAAAGTCCAGATGTCCGCAAACCATTGTTTTCACCTCTACCCGCTCAAATGTAGCATGGCCAGCAGGGTTAGCTCGTGCGCACAGGAGAGCGCACTGATGTTCCGTGAGGAGTGTGGATAAATGTTACAGGTTAAAGCCGTAGCAGCTCTTACCTTTGGCTTTTCTTCAGACATTGTGCCGTGGAGCCGTGCGCCGCTAAACACAGAGGAGCTGCAGTGTGGAGGGAGCGGGTCTTATCACTTCCTCCGGCTCTTTTCACTGGAGCAGGCGCGCGCACTCATATTTAAAATGTAATTCGACCACACGGGTCACGTGCTCCTCTAGTGTCGGGGGCGCGCATACGAGAGCGCGCACAGTAAAATGCGCACTCCCGCGACTACTTTGCATCACAAGGGCCCATCCCCAGACTCCCTCTAACACAAGCAGAAAGACAAAATGTTTTATCACATTTAAACACGCAAAACGAAGACGAGCTGATCACAAAGCCGTTTTTTTATTCTGTCAAACGTGGTGTACAAAAATAAACATTTTAGAAGTACAAGTTAGAAATCAGTAAACAGTGTGCAATGCCACAACTCGCTGTAAAGGAGAAATATTTAATTCCACTACATTTATTGATCCACAAGAGAAACTTTGACTGTGAGCTGCTGCCAGTGAGTCCAAACTCAGAGCTGTGTGTTAGTATTAAATAAATCTGTGTTAAACTTGTAAATTTACTGAAGTACTTTTGGCACTAGGTGGACATGTGTGCATTGTAGAAAGAATACAACAGAAGTGGCAAACATAAAAGAAAATAATCACATTAGAACTATAATCACATACATTAGACAGAAGCAGTCACAAAAAACATTGTGCCACTAAGCCTCAGATCAACTGAAAAACTAAATATGGAAAGATTTACAAATCCTATTGAAATCAAAAACATATGAAAGCTTTGGTGTGTCTCAATATTAATACTTTAACCATTCTAGTCATATTTTGGTGTATGTTAGGGGACCGTTCTCAGGATATCGGTGTATGTTAAAAGCACAGGCACTGGTACATTTAAAAATATTGTTCAATGTTCATTCATTCGAGCGTACGGGTTATCCTTCGCCAAACCTGTGGAAGAAAATGGGAGAGCAGCAGTCAGATCGGGCCACCTTTAGACCTCTAACCTTTAATTATCTACTAGATGGCAGTGTTGAGCTGGTGTGTCTGGTTATTACTATAATATAACGTACATACAGTATATGCTTAAAGCCAAGCCACTCACAGTTATATTATTTGAGAAAGAAACATTTTTCTTGTTTAAGTACAAGATTGTTGGTTTATATAACAATTAAAAAATTAATCGAAAATCAATATGTGGGGGAAAATGTGATTAATATTTTTTCTAGAATAAAAAAATGTCTAACAATGAATACCAGAATGTTTTACTCTGTTTGTTACATGATGCAAAAAGAAACTCACCATATTTCTGTCGGATTTCATCATGTCTCATCTGCATTTCTGTTCTCCTATAAAGTGACACATCAATAAGGTAGGGGACATTGAATCTGTGTTGTTACTATTTTGAGAGCAAAAACAAAACCATACCTTGCTTTCTGTCTGGCTGTCCGTGCACGGTTTTCTCTTTCAGCTTTTGCATCTTCCTTCTTAGTTCTGGAACAAATAAAACAGCAGCATTATTCCTCATGTACATTTACTAGGGCTTCGACTAACAATTATTTTACAAGTCAATTAGTCTTGCAATTTAATTATTTAATGCACAAAAACTTAAAAAAAACATTTTAATCTGATAAAAAAGGTAAAAAATATTCTGTCTGAAAGCTTCTAGATAGAGAATATTTACAAATAAAGTGTACTGATGAAAATTACAGATTTTTTTTGAGATTTTCTTTTTTTTATCACATGATCTTGTCACGATAGTCAGAGTTTGTCACAGATAATACTCCCTACAACTATACACAACATACTCTTATGTGACAGATAATACTCCCTACAACTGTACAACTCACCCTTATGTGACAGATAATACTCCCTACAACTGTACAACAACTCACCCTTATGTGACAGATAATACTCCCTACAACTGTACAACTCACGCTTATGTAACAGAAAATACTCCCTACAACTGCACAACAACTCACCCTTATATAACAGAAAATACTCCCTACAACTGCACAACAACTCACCCTTATATAACAGATAATACTCCCTACAACTGTACAACAACTCACCCTTATGTAACAGATAATACTCCCTACAACTGTACAATAACTCACACTTATGTAACAGAAAATACTCCCTACAACTGTACAACAACTCACCCTTATGTAACAGAAAATACTCCCTACAACTGTACAATAACTCACGCTTATGCAACAGATAATACTCCCTACAACTGTACAACAACTCACCCTTATGCAACAGATAATACTCCCTACAACTGTACAACAACTCACCCTTATGTAACAGATAATACTCCCTACAAGTTTACAACAACTCACCCTTATGTAACAGATAATACTCCCAACAACTGTACAACAACTCACCCTTATGTAACAGAAAATACTCCCTACAACTGTACAACAACTCACCCTTATGTAACAGAAAATACTCCCTACAACTGTACAACAACTCACCCTTATGTAACAGATAATACTCCCTACAACTGTACAACAACTCACCCTTATGTAACAGATAATACTCCCTACAACTGTACAACAACTCACCCTTATGTAACAGATAATACTCCCTACAACTGTACAACAATTCACGCTTATGTAACAGATAATACTCCCTACAACTGTACAACTCGCCATTATGTAACAGATAATACTCCCTACAACTGTACAACAACTCACCCTTATGTAACAGATAATACTCCCTACAACTGTACAACTCGCCATTATGTAACAGATAATACTCCCTACAACTGTACAACAACTCACCCTTATGTAACAGATAATACTCCCTACAACTGTACAACTCGCCATTATGTAACAGATAATACTCCCTACAACTGTACAACAACTGTCCCGTATGTAACAGATAATACTCCCTACAAGTTTACAACAACTCACCCTTATGTAACTGATAATACTCCCTACAACTGTACAGCAACTCACCCTTATGTAACAGATAATACTCCCTACAACCGTACAACAACTCACCCTGCCGTGATTTTACATTTTATTACTTACCAATTTTATTTTTACTTGTACATTTACATTTATATAATTATGTCTTATTTGAAACCCGTCTCTTGCTATTTTTTACTACTTATTTAAAATTTATTATTACCATATATTAATTTAATTTCTATTTTAGCTCTTTGTTATTACATTTATTGTGTTGTGTGAGCTACTGTGCCCAAATAATTTCCCTTGTGGATCAGTAAAGTTTGTCTAAGTCTAAATCTAGTCAATTTGTGCTGATTATTTCGATGAATGGTTGTTGCCTTTTCTTATTTCACCTTACGTGCATTTAACAAATTCATATATTTTTCAAATTATTACTAAGGATAATACACAAGCAAAATATTCATCACCATTTTACATCATGGGGCAATTTGTGTAGAAAAGTAGTAATAGCAAAATGTTGGAAAATACAGGAAGTAGCAGTGACTTTTACAATAGAATCCCTCTGCTTATGCAATCAAATTAATCTAAAATGCACAGAATTTACAAAGAAGGAAGGCCAGTTTAAACATTGATTTAGGAAAATAAAATGCTATTTATTTTTACTTTTCAAATCCTAACTATTGTATGGTTTTGTACATTTGTCAAATTTACTGCTCATGTTTAACCAGAAAGCAATATCATACACTCTTTTGTAAAATGTATAATTATGTTGAGTATGTTTAGTGAAATGTGTCTAATCTGTCATATGAACTTTAAACGAAAATAGACGTTTCATTATTATTTACAGAGCTGATCCCAGACAAGTTCTAACAGCTTTTGGAGATGTCTGTATCAGCCACCGTGAATAAGAGCTATTGTTTTCCTCTACTCCTACTGCTCCTGTGGTGCTCCAGATTTACCACCAGTCCACGTTTCATGTGACCAGTGGTGGAAGAAATATTCAATTGTGTTACTTAAGTAGAAGTACAGATACCGATGCAAAAAAATACTCGAGTAAAAGTAAAAGCATCACATAAACTTATACTCATATTTAAGTAAAAGTATTAAAGTACCTGTTTAAAAATGTATAAAAGTAAAAGTATTTTGAATGGATTTTGAGGTCTTATAAGGCTTTAAATATACTGATTTTGATCAAGATTTGTGCTAAATATTCAATAGAAACAACTGAATCGATAGTTTTTTGTCTTTTTATTTGTAAGATGTATGTATTTTTATTTATTATTACACATTTTTGTTTGCTCAAATTATGAACTTAATAAAGACTATAATAAAAAGGACTTTTCAATCGATTTCAAAAATGTAATGGAGTAGAAAGTACAGATATCTTCTCTAAAATGTAGTGAAGTAAAAAGTATACACTTCAAAATGTACTTAAGTAAAGTACAGATACCTAAAATCTATACTTAAGTACAGTACTTTACAACTTTTACTTGTGACTTACCCCATTCTCTCACACTTGCAGCAGCAGAAGCAGCACAACAAAACAGTGATGATCAAAACACCAGCCAGCACTGACATAGTTATGATCAACACCTGGAAGTTGACTAAATAACAAGAAAAACGTGTTGAAAATTAAAAATTACATGGAAATTATTGTTATTTAAACAGCTCTCAGTGTGTTTCTTACCCCAACAGACCCCCCATCGGGCATCATTCAAACGACACACACTCCTAGGAGGTAAAATGGTCCTCACCGGGTAATCAATGCACTGTCCAGTTTGTTCACACCACAAACACTGCAACAAAGAACTTTTTTTTTATTACATTTGAGCATTTTAAAGCATATTTTAAAGGCAGGAGACTTACTGTCACATTCTGCAAGCATTCCTCACAACTTGTGTTAGATTTTGATGAACAAGGACCTGTCAAGTATAAATTTTAGGTTACTAGGTCAAATAGTGGGAATACAAGTTTTGATAAATAATAGAATATACAAAAATATATATTCAAGTTTAATTTCTAAGCACATATTTGAAACAGGTATGTTAATAAACGTCTACAAAGAGGAAACTAGTCATGTGATTGCCTCCTGACTTAAAACAGTGAAACTCATGAAGTTACTAGTAAAAAAAAATTGACCAGAAGGAAAACTGCGGACTTACTCAAAGGAGACGGGGTCGACGTTTGTGCATCGGTGCAGCCAAAATAGGAGAGATTTAAGACGAAAACAACGAGACAAACTCCAAACAATCCAGGCATGTTGGAACAAGTGAAATCTCAGACCAAACAAACTGCACGCTGCATGAAACACTTGTGAGAAGCAGCGGAGGAGTGAAAGAAAGGCGGAGCACTGGAGGCTGTTTACGAGACGTTGACATCACAAAACGGATTCTTTATTTTAGTTTGTAATGTGCAGTTTGTTTGTTTTTTTACGAATTTTCATATTGTTGTAAATTTTAACTGGCAGCATTAATACTTATACTTGTATACAGTAATTAGCTATTATTACACTGTAGTAACGCGTATTAATTTCAAGATAATAATTTTAGTTATCATTGTTGAAAAATGCAGAAAATTTTTTGAAAATGAAATACTTTTTATTTTTTTTATTTTTTTAAATATCGCGTAAACTAAATAAAAACTGCCCCGGAACTAATGAAGAAAAACACGTTTCTCTACGGAGCAACAGCAGCAGCACCGTGAAACCGCGATCTCACGTTTCGTAAATAAATGTAAATAAATAATGTAGATAAAGTTTTTTTCTGTATCTTAAAATTTATAACATATTGTGTGTTGTTTATTAGGTAAATATAATTTTATTTTATGGGGCATGTTTATTTTATTATGCGAATTTAGCGGTATCTCTAAGGATTGGGTCCCTACAATTAAGTTTAATAGTTATATTTACCTGGCAGAAATGATACTATGATCATGTTGGTGGTTTGTCTTCGGCCATAGAGTCCCTATTTCCCCGGGACAGTCCCAGTTTTGAGCCCTGTGTCACCTGTCCCAGCAGATTTATCCAAAACTATTGATTTGTCCCAATTTTATACAAGAAATGTCCCAGGTGTCCCTATTTTTGACCAATCTGATCCCTGCCAACAGTAAAACAGGTATAAACTGTCATTTATTTAAGGAAAATGCAGAAAAGCTGCTTAAATATGACCAAAACACAAAGAAAATGTGATTATATTGATTTAGTGTAGGGGTGACGAGATTTTCAAAACTCTAAACTGGGACACACCAGGGTTGAGATGTTTGGTATAAATAAAATAGTGAAAAGAGTGTGCAAGATTATGAATTCTTGTGTTAGTCATAATCTGAGGGTTGCTGCATTTATTTTTTTTTTTTTGCTTTATGGTCATTCACAAACACTGATTTCTGTATTTTGGCAAAACAAATGACAACTTACGCTCCTCTTTACTGTTGGTAGGAATCAGATTAGTCAAGATTTGTGATAGTTCTGTTTTAGTCCTGGTTTAGACCTGATATAGTCCTGGTTTAGTCTTAGTTTAGTCTTGGTTTAGCTCAAAGTGGTCCAAAACAGAGACACCTGGAACATTTCTTATATAAAAAAGTATGTGGTTTTGTATAAATCTGCTGGGACAGGAGACACAGGGCTCAAAACTGGGACTGTCCTGGATAAATAGGGACATCTGTGGTCAGCCTACATTAGAGTCGAGTGCAGAACAATTTTCCAGGGAAGTCACAGTTTATTATTTTGAAAATCTGGTCACCTTACTCCGGCATTCTGACCCGACCAAACTCCTCAAATGTGGGACTCTCGACTGCAGTTGGTTAAAGAAAACTGAGCACATTTAAACTGCTAAGGACTCTTGTACTTTTATAAATTTAACTTTTGTCTGTCCAGATTTTGAGCTATTAATCTCATGGACACATACAACTTTATTGGAAATCTGTAATATTCAATCAAATCAACCATTCTGAGAAGAATCTGGACCAGTGTGTGCTCCAAACCCCCCTAAAAAATAAAAAAAAAAAAAATCAGTTAAGTTAATAGGAATTTTATATGAATTCTGTCTGGACTTTTTATTTTTTGCCTCATTACAAGTCCCTAACCGTCATATTTAGGAGCATGTTTAGCTTCAGCTTTGATATGGGAATTGTCAAAACTCAACAAATGCTCAGTCTGCTTTCTCTCAGGCCATCCTCAGGGACACCAGCCATACCTATTCTTGTATTTAGCCAAAACAATACAAGAGGAATTTGAAATCTGGCTTTCCTTTGTGTAGAGTTTGTTCCCACTTAAAAGTACAGAGTTACAGAACAGCAGGGGGCAAAACTACAACACCTTGGCTTCACAAAGAGTCCAGCCATTTATCTGAGCTCCAGAGCTTTCAGAAACACATTCAGTTTGCAAATGAGCGTCATCTGAGTGAGGCATTTTAAACAAACTATAAGAGAGTTTTTAATAAGAGGAACAACAACAGCAGCAGTTAAATACAATAATTTATTAAAGCATCTTTAAATTCTGATATAAAACAAGTTCCATGTTTCCTTCCTTCAAAACAGTCGTAAATGTGAGAAACAGTCCGTGGTGAGGGCATGATGAGTCTCTGGTGTAGCCGCCGGCAGCTCACCAGGAAAATGCCTTTGAACGGAGATGAGTCCGGTCAGTCCCAGGGTCCAAATACATCTGTGTGGATCTTTTGAAATCATAGACCTCTTCTATTCTATTGTGTGATTAACAAAACATCGGATTCAGTGACTACAGAAATCAACAGGCCTGTCACGATAATTCAAACATTTTGAAGCACAATATAATCGCTGAAGAAATTACCGATGATAAAGGATAATATTGAAATTAATGTATCCCACTGAGACAAGAACCCAAGAGCAGATTTAAAACCACAAAACTATTCAAAATGTACAATATTGTTACAAAATCACAAGTTGTTATGAATAAATAGTAGAACGAAACTCTTTAGTATTGAGTTTGCATCTGTAATGAGTCACAGAAGTTATGAATTCAAACTTTTACGACGCAAATCTTATCATACAGTCAAAAAATAACCAAAAATGTCCCAGCAGTACAAAGAAATTGTACACACGGTAAATATTGACCCCAAAAATATATGGTTCCAGCTTTTGTATATTGTGCAATAAGCAGTGGTGGATGAAGTACACAGTTTTGTTACTTAAGTAAAAGTACAGATACAGGGGCAAAAGATTACTCAAAGTAAAAGTAAATCTATTTAAGTAAAACTACTGAAGTACCTGTTTAAGAATGGACTTTAAGAGTAAAAATTAACAATTAAATCTTCAAATGTAGTGATTTTGATAAAGATTTAAGCTGATTTTAAGTGGTTTAATATTGATTTCTTAAATTATGTAGCTGTTTTTGTGTTTCTGGTTTGCTTAAAGTTGTCTCAAACTATAAAGAAAAGCACTTTTTACTTTTCAGTCCAGATCTAAAATGTAGTGGAGTAGAAAGTACAGATACGTGCTCTCAAATGTAGTGATGTAAAAGTAAAAGCATCCACAGTAAAATTTACTCAGGGAAAGTACAGATACCTAAAAATTGTACTTTTACTTTTGTACTTCGTTACTTTCCACCACTGATGATAAGTCAATGTAGTAATTATCGTGACAGGTGTAAAAATCAATCATAAAAAGAATAGTTGACAGTAAGACACCCTCAACTGTCAGTCCTTTAGTACTTTAGCATATACCAGGAACTATTAGCTTGAAATGTCAAAATATTGTAACCCTGAAATAGAAAATCATCAGAGTAACAGAGTAGCAAAGCGTCATTTTACTTTTTTTTTTTTTTAGCACACTAATAAATACCCCACCCTCTATGGCCAAAAACAGCAAGAAACAAACACATCTCAAAGCCTGTTTCAAGCAACACGACGTCTATATAATAATATTCGTAAATAAAAGGACATTTCTGCGGTGGTTAAAGGTGCGATGTGTAACTTTTTTGTTGGGGGTTCGTCACTGCTCTGCCTGGAATGTTCCACAGTATGACTTTAAACATTTCTACCTTATATTTATTCAATTACAGGTGGTTTTAGAGCTCAAAAATACCTAGATGTCTCCATGAAGATAGAAACGTTTAATACCAGACTGTGAAACATTCCAGATGAAGCTACAATATTTCCACAAAGAAAAGCATTTGACGCACCCTCCACCAGAAAAATTACACAATGCACCTTTTAAACATTTCATGATGGACACTTTTCAGATACATTTGTTCATATTGTTCCAAAAGGCAACAGTCTGTAAAGGCAACATCAGCCCCGAACTCCCAAAACACTAAGGCAAACTTGTTTTCATCACACACATTGTATTACCTGAGTGAGGAATTATTTTCAAAAGGGTTCTGAATTTTGATTTGTGGGCTCAGAAACACTATACACAAATTGTAATATTTAAATTTTTTTGCTTCATGTGTTCACTTGAGTTTCTATTGTCAGTAATACTTTGTAGAGAATGGCCAGTGTAACTAATGTAAGGTATGAGCCATAGACTGTATATATAAATGGACATAGCCAGGGAAGTAGACACAGGGGGACAAAGGGGTCTGTTGTTCCAGGCCACAGGGTTTTAGGGGCCCAAAAGTGAATTCTCTTCTTATTAATTTATATTAGAGGGGGGCCAATGTAAAGTTTTTTGCCCCAGGCCCCCAAATTTCTGTTGGCGGGCCTGGACATAGTTAATCTGTAAGCCGCCATGTTCCTTTACATTGAAAAAAACGTCACTCCTCTCTCTTTAACTGCTGCTGTGAGCCTTGTCATTTTGGTCTTAAAATATTCGTATTAATCTGTTCTACATGATTCTGGTGATTTCCATCCATCCATTTTTTTCCGCTTATCTGGGACCGGGTCGCGGGGGCAGCAGTCTAAGCAGGGACTCCCAGAGTTCCTTCACCCCGGACACTTCCTCCAGCTCCTCTGGGGGGACCATGAGGCATTCCCAGGCCAGTCCAGAGACATAGTCCCTCCAGCTTGTCCAGCGTCTTCCCTGGGGCCTCCTCCCGGTGAGACATGCCCAGAACACCTTCCGAGGGAGGCACCCAGGAAGCATCCGGAACAAATGTCTGAGCCACCTCAACTGCTCCTCTTGACGTGAAGGAGCAGCAGCTCTACTCCGAGCTCCTCCCGTGTGACTGAGCTCCTCACCCTATCTCTAAGGGAGCGCCCAGCCACCCTGCGGAGGAAACTCATTTCAACCGCTTGTATCCGCGATCTTGTCCTTTCGATCATTACCCAAAGCTCATGACCACAGATGAGGGGAGGACCGTAGACTAACCGGTAAATTGAGAGCTTTGCCTCTTCACCACAACGGTCCCATACAGCAACCGCATCACTGCAGACGCTGCACCGATCCACCTGTTAATCTCTCGCTCCGTCCTCCCCTCACTCGTGAACAAGACCCCGAGATACTTGAACTCCTCCACTTGAGGCAGGGTCTCTCCACCCACCAGGAGAGTACAAGACACCTTTTTCCAGTCGAGAACCATGCCTGGTGTTTTTATTTAGCTATTTTGTCCGTAAATAAATCCTAATATGAACGTCACACTCCCTTAGTCCATTTCTTTATACAGTCTATGGAAAGATCATAAAAAAAAAAACATACAATAATTCGGATAGGACATTCTTGCTTTCACATTAGCAGTAGAGAATATTCCGTGTTACATTTTAGTCTAAACTCTTGTCCAAAGGCATTTTGTTTCTCTGTCTTCTGCCCAGTCGCCTGTAGGGGGCAGTCGTCCGTATAGTGCATTATGTTACAGTCCATCACCTGATCCAGTTGCTGCCGTAACTGGAGACAGATTTGACGCTGCAGCGCTTTTTCACAATCATGTTTATGTAGGCTTTCATGATTTTCGTGATCTCTCCAACCTTGAAAAAACAAAACACAATAGGTGAAAATGGGGGCTGGGTTTCAAAGGTGATTTTCTAAGACTTAGATAAACTTTGACACAGTAGCTCAGAGCATATTATAATAACAAAAATAAATGGTATAATAAATTCTAAATAAGGAGCAGAAATGGCAAGAGACTGATGTCAACTAAAGCATAAACATATAAATGTATATGTACAAGTAAGTTTACATGAGATGTAGAAGGTAGGGGAGGGTAATATGGCACAAAAATAATCTTGTTTTTTCTGGTATTGTTGATTTTTTTGTCTAACGAAAAAGATATAAAATGGTTTTCTATATGAACTGAATAGACACAACACAGACTTTTAAGCATTTCCATTAAACACAAAAATGCTCCAATTTCTTTTCCTTCAAAGCCTGAAATCTGCTCCGTACCTCATGCTTTTACTGAAAAAAATTGTCTCTGTATCTCTCATTTAAAAATACCCCATGACTCATTAACAAATAAAAAGGACACAAATAAGTCTTAATAAAAATTGTATTAATTGTTAAGCCCTTCACTTTTATCAAAACATCTAAACTGGTTTCCTATTTTTAGTAAAAGTACAAGTAATCAAGTTTAACTCTCATTTCTGAAAAGATTCTAACATCTATGTTAACATCTAGAAATAGAAAATTAGATTAAAGGGCCCAGATTAGGCTATTTTCTGATCTGTTATAATGTTGTTTCCTGATCACAAACAGACCTAGAGTTGTGTTTTGTTTCATACACACATGTTTAACACACAAATCCTGCATATTTAGGCTCCAGAGTTCTCCTCTCAAACAGAAAACACTCTGTTCCACCTTGTGATGTCATGTGGTAATACAAGAAATACTAATACTGCAGGAAACATAACACAACTTCAGGTGTTTTTGATGAGGTAACAGTATTATAACGTGACTTAAAGCCCACAAGAGTCAATTTTATGTAATATAGGACCTTTAAAATAATTTCCCCATCACATATTTTACTAGTACTTTATCAGTAAATAGAGTGAGAGAGAGAGAAGTTTTCTTATTCCCACTCTGTTTTGGGCAATTTTTTGTTGTTATTTCTGCTATGATTTCATTAATGTTATATAAATTTCTTATTTGCCCAAAATAAATACATAAATAAGACCTCATGCTACACTTTCAACTAACTACAATTCACCTAAAATGTCACATACAGCTGATCCTCAACTTTGAGTTTATTTAAAGGCCAGGTTAAAGGACATACCTGAGGAGTTTCAAAGTACATCTCCCGCTCGTCCACAGTGATTTTGTAGGTACAGTGCTGTGGAGCTCCAAAGAAGACGATGTGTTCATACGGAAAAGTCTCCAGAGGTTTGGGCTCTCCTCTCTTATACACAGATACATTCTCCGCACTCACACTCAGCCAGAGGTCATGTGGGAAGCCCCCCTCTTTACACTGCAACAGAGTATAAAAAGGCAATGTTAGAGACAGCTACTTATGGGTTTCAAAAAGTTAATCAAGAAAATAGAAACCAGCATTGCCATACAGGTTAAAGCATACATATTTTAGGACGATAAATAAATGTTAAATGTAAACTTTGTATTGTATTTTCATCTCCAGTACAATTTTGGGAATCTATTGGGTGAAAAGGATTGATGCTGTATAGTTTTTGTGGTTTTAATCTCGAAAAAAAGTATTATTGTCTGAAACTATATAAGTAAAAAAATAAAAACGTGATCTTTTTGTGCACACTAGTTTCCTGCCTCACAGCAAGAATTGGATCAGTCCTCGCAACATTCCTCCTGTGTGGATTAAGCGAATCCCATTGGTTGTGTTTCTCTTCAGGATCATTTTAAAATAAAATAGACATCAGTTGCTTTCATCAGTGTTTCCTCTCTTGCCGTATTATCAGGGGCTAATCCGAGTACAAGACAAATCAATGTATAATAAAGATACAAAATGATGGTTGGCACTGACAGTTTTTGCATTTCCAATTCCAATCACTGCTCAGATTCAGTCTCAGAAATTCATGAGGTGGTTTTCATCAGAGAGGGCATCCAACGCAAAATCCAAGCCAAAATTACTTTCCAAATGATTGTGCACAAAATGAAAGATATTAGGTTTGATTTACCCAGAAGAAAAGATAATAATGAGAAGGATATTGATCACAGCCAAACACGATACTGAAATAAACTGACATTATCAATTAACATGTTGTACAGTTTAATATTTACTTGTTTACTCACTAGTCACAGTGGCCAGTCTTTTTGAACCAGCCAAAACAACTGTGTTTTGGTAGATAATTTGAATTAGAAATACTTGGATTTAAGCTTTAATCATGTTAAAATTGATCCTATATCTAAAAAGGGATCATAGCTTTTCAAAAATATGGCTTATAAAATGTTAAAAGTACAGTTTAAGAGGGCTATTTCATATAATTGTACTGTGGTGGCTATTGATATTTTGCTGGGGGTGTACTACATGTATCTCTATCGCAGAATCTTCATCAGTTACCATGATGATGCAATGCACACATCACATTAGCCAGAAAGTTTTACCGTATTTTCCGGGCTATTAGGCGCTCTGGATTATAAGACGCACTGTCATTAAATGGTCTATTTTGGAACTTTTTTCCACAAATAAACTGCACCGGACTTTAAACGAAACACAACAGTTAGATGGGTCAATCGGACTTTGTTTGGCACGTTCACGGTGACTCTGGGCTTTGTTCAGTTGTGGCGTGTAGGGAGGGTGCTGTCTGGGACCGCTGGATTGTCGGCGTGTTCGCTGTGACTCAGTTGTTCAGTTGTGGCTAGAAGTGGCACATTGCTCTTGCTTTTTCGGTTCGTTCTTCCGTTCCGTTCCTCGTCCACGTGGAGTGATGAGTGTGTCTGCGGGTGTTTTTCGCTGTGCAGTCGCTGTCTGCTCTGTGAGTGTTTACGTGCGCTGCTGGTGCTGCGGCTTTGTAAGTTTACTGAAGTCGTGCTGGGACACCCGAGTGGATTCTTTTGTAGGGCGCTCTGGATTGCGGGGCGCGCGGTCGTTTTTTGATGCGGTTAGAGGCTTAAGAGCGCTCCTAATAGCCCGGAAAATACGGTAATTGATAGTCTAAAAACTCAAGAAAACTACAGAATGTCCCTAGTTAATTACCAGAAATATGCTGAGCCCCTGTGCTATTGCTTTGCCTGAAATGTTTCACAATATGGTATTATAACATTTACACATGTTTTATGCCTAAAAATACATCAAAAACATGCATTATTGCTGGGAGTGGGCTTGCTTCTACACACATATGATCTGTAATTTGGTCTGGTTGTGCCACCTGAAGGACCATCCACCAGAAAATTACGTAGTGAATCTTTATATTCTAGCAACAAAATAAGCACAACTGACTAAACAGGATAAACAAACGTGTGAATGATAAAATAAATATCAGTATCCAAATAAAACTGCCCGTACCTCCACATCGAACAGCGTGGAGCCGTAGCCGGTCCACTCTTTGATCACAGTCATGTACTTGAGCATGGCCTGGTGCTGGTCCAGCCCGCTCAGCCTGCTCCACTTGTCTGTGATACTGGCCCGCGTGGACGACATCTCCTCTTTAATCCACATCTCCAACATCTGCTCCTCCTCCAGCTTCTGCTTCTTCATGGAGCCCGTCTTCAGACCCCTCCGGAGAGTCCCATCCAAGAAGCTGGTCCTCCTCCTCTCCAGAGTTTGGCCTGTGCCTGACCCCCCGCCTCCTTTGGTGAACTGGATGATGCGGTTTCGTAGGCGGCCCACGGGGTACACGCTGTCCAGGCTCCACGAGGCTTTGCCCTTGTCTCCGTAGAGGAACTGAAGACGCAGAGCTGCCAGGTGCTGCAGGGTCTCCTCACGGGCGGGGAAGTGGCCGCGGGTCAGACTCTCATGGGCCTGGTGCACAGATATCAGCTTCAGTTAAGGTACAGTTTGGTTTATTCCTTTATTTTTAAACACAATTTTACTGTTAAAGGTGTCTGCTCTATGTAGATGTTTTTTTACTATGCCTGGAATATTCCACAGTATGGCATTAAAGTAGCATGTTTTTATTGCAGAAAATACCTTAAAACATGCATTAGTAATGTACGTGGGGTCACATGTATGGTAGTTTAATAAGATACTGTGAAACATTCCAGGCAAAGCAAAAAACATCTCCATGGAAACAAGCAGGTCGCCCACTTAAAAAGTTGCATAGTGCATTTTTAAGGGTTAAAGCAAATGTGAATAGTTGTAAAATATAATATAATTCAATCTGTGTATCATTTGTTCATTCATTCAACAAAAAAACAACAATTTTCTTCATTATTTGTCTCCAAAACCAAATAAAAAAACAGATAATGATTAATTTTTTCAATTTTTGATTTTGTGTTTAAATGAATAATGGAAAGAACGGACAACGTTTTCCGTTTCCGTGACTTAAACTGCAATACCGGGGTTTTGCACTAGATACGGACTGAACCAGGACTAAAACAGGACTAAAACAGGACTAAGCCAGGTCTAAACCAGGTCTAAGTCAGGACTGAACCAGGACTGAGTGTCAGGACGGGCCCGGAGATGCGCGCGCTTAGATCAGGACTGAAACCGGGACCAGACTGGGACGAGACTGGGATTGAGACTAGGGCTGAGACTAGGACTAGACCAGGACCAGACCAGAACTGAATCTGGGACCAGACAGGGACCAGGACCAGGACAAATAATGGAGACAAATAATGAAGAAAATAGTTGTTTTTTCATTTTCTTATTTTTGGTTTTATTTTGAAAAACGAATGAACGAATGATACACGGATTTAAGTTTCTTGTCATTTCATCTGACTTTTTTGCAGATATTACTGTATTATAATTTTATATATAAAACAAGTTTTCAGAATGATCCGGTTGAGTCAGTATAAACAATAAATCATCTGTAAGTCTAAAACTGATTGAACCAACCAGTGTTTTAGCAAATACGAGTTATGTAACGTAATACATTAATTGTTTATAGCTTAACTGTTCCCTAAAATTCTCACCTGCTCAAACATGAATGCAAACTCCACTCCTTCTTTGGGCATGCTCTCCACATCCAGGAAGCAATAAAGCTTAAAGTACAGTTTCCATTGGCCATCCTCCTCTTCCTCACTGACCGCCAGTCTAAACATACCCCACGAAATTAGCACACATGCCACATTAGGACTACAAATCCCATGTTTATGAATGAATTTACCTTTCAAATTTAGCCAAAACATCGGCTACAAGTACTCTGCTTTCCACTGCTTTGTCAATGGAGTTGTTGTGTTCAAATAACGCAAACATGTTTCGGCTGTCCTCCATGGCTAACCCGCGAATTAGCTTCTCCACCACCTACAAACCAAAGCAACATTTAAACATTGTGTAAATAAAAGTAGTCAAACATGGATTGCTTATGCTGCCATAGTCTTATAGTCTTATACATGCATCACAAATTTCGGACTTCTGGTCATCGCGCAATGCATACTGGGAAGAATCCTCCGAAAAAAGTGAGCATCAAATCGCCATGTTTGATTTCCCAGTGGGATGCGTTTATTGTCAAAGTCGATCTTTTCAAGTCTTTTGAGCCATATCACTTTTGTTTCTGGTTCTGATATTGTCATATTTTAGTTATGGGATTTGGACATCGTAATTGTGTGGTTGTTGGATCCTAACAGCGGAAAACGGCTTGAGAAATGGGCTTCGGGAGTTAACTGCAAAAGGGAATCAGATCTGTGTGACTGCAAACTTCTGTTCAAACTGTTTGGAAAAATAGTGAAAGGCGAAGGCGGTGGGCAGTATTGATACACAGGAAGGACGGAAACAAAAAACCTTTGGCTGCCTAAGAAATCATCCCGAGTTTGCAGCGAACATTTTGTATGTGGAGCGCCATCAAAGCAAAATCCCTTTTGTTAAGCGAGAGGTACAGAAGACTAGCAGGCTGAGCTCGCACTTTCTTGCTTGACTTTACAGCAACATTACGTCTTGGTCGCTTTGCAGTGGAAGGTGTTTCTTGGTGAACAGCTGGTGCTTTTCGCTTTACAGTTGACTTTTAAAATTTGTAACCAAGGTTGAGCAAGAGATCGGGATTTTGCTTTGATGGCGCTCCACATACAAAATGTTCGCCGCAAACTTGAGATGATTTCTTAGGCAGCCAAATGTTTCCTTTTTTGTTGTTCCTGTGAATCAATCCTGCCCACCGCCTTCGCCTTACACTGTTTTTCAATTTCGTTGGGAAGGGAAACAGTTTAGATGGAGGTTTGCAGTCACACAGCACTGATTCCCTTTTGCATTTATGGAGTTCGCAAACTTCCGAAGCCCATTTCTCCAGCCGTTTTCCGCTGTTAGGACATACAACAATCACACAATTACGATGTCCGAATCCCAAAACTAAAATATGACAACAAAAGTGATGTGGTTCAATAGACTTGAAAAGATCAGCTTTGACAATAAACGCATCCCACTGGGAAATCAAACATGGCGGTTTGATGCTCACTTTTTCTGAGGATCCTTCCCAGTATGCAATGCACGATGACCCGGAGTCCGAAATTTGGGATGCATGTATTAACAACATATATTGTTTGATTCTACCTCTCCAGCCGTGGTGTGGGAGTTGATGGAGATCTTGCAGGAGCCTCCCCCGTGACAGTAAACCGTGGTGGTCATTTCCTGTCTGGTCAGAAGAGCAATGATCTCTTCTTGGGAGGGCACAAACTCTCGAGATTTGGTTCTCTTGAGGGATTCGCTGATGAAGTGGGCGTACTGCTCGATCTCTGTACCAGGGAACAGCTCTTTAATCCTGAAAAAAATATGAAGAGTTGTCAGATTGGAGTTAAGTTATGTAAAATAGGTTTACACTTTATAATTTCTTATATCAAGAGTAGTAGTTTTTAAATAAAATATAAAAAATGTAAATTGTGTAATCTTTTTTTTGTATTATTTAGGTCCACATCATATAGTAATCCTTTGGTTTAATCTTCTAATTTTGTCAATTAAAGGTAGTATAGTGAAAAAAATATCACTTAAATTCAACTTTCATGAGCTTTATCTTTATAATTAACAATTTTCCATCTTCACTGAGTTGCAATTAATGCTTGAGTGTTCAGAAAATATCATATTTCACCTACCCCCTACCTCCGCCCACAGCCCTATGTAAAACATAAAACACGTAATTGACAATCAAGAACTTGTTATATATAAAACAATCAGTCAATTTCTATTACTACGCTGTTTTAGACTAACATTGTGTTTTACAAAGAACAAAATGTAAAATAGTAATGTTCTAGTTTCATAGTAAATACCCAAAAATGCACAGTAAGTATTTGTTAATGAGTTAATTTTTAGAAACTTCAGTCTAGTTTAGTCTATGTTAAAGGTGCACTGTGTAACTTGTCAGGTGGAGGGTCTGTCACCTGCTTGTCTCCATGGAGATGTACCTAGAATGCTCCTCAATATGACCATAAACTTAAAAATCTCAATGGAGACTTTCAAGCCAAATTACAGGTTAATAAAAATTTTAATTGTTAATTAAAAGATTTGTGTGTCAAACAATCTTCAAACTCATATAATCGAGTTGAAACTTTAACTTTGAGATTTATTTTAGAATATTGTTTATATAAATAGTATATTTATTAGATCTTTTAAATACAGAGATCAGCTGGATATATAGTTTATTTTGGATACATTTATGTTTTTTTATGCCTTATTTCATGTTCAAAGTATATTTTATTAATTTTATGTTTTATACATCACAAAACTGCTCTAAGGTACATATTTGTAGCCTATATTTATTTTCAATTTAACAGTTTTGCGTAAATTATCAATGACAAAGTGTTTTTTGAGAGAGAAATGCTGAATAAATGCATTGTGTAACTAGAAAATAATCGTTTGAATAATCATGATTTCAATATTGACCAAAATAATCATGATGATTTTTTCCATAATCAGGCAGCTCTAATAGAAAGGACGATTTCAGACAAAGCAAAAACATCTCCATGGTGAAAAGCATTTGACGGACCCTCCATCAGAAATGTCACACAATGCATCTTTAACAGCTCAAAAGCCAAACGTTTTTTGTACCTTTTGAGGTGGAATCTGAGGTAGCGCAGGATGCCTCGACTGGGCAGGAAGGTGCAGCTCATACAGGTGAGGAGGTGCCAGTGCGCACGATTGGCCGGGCTGTTGGGATGAGGCACGTGATTGGTCTGTTTGATCAGCTGACAGTAGACCTCGTCCCTCAGCGCCCGCAGGTCCTGGCAGGTCTGGAGGATGCCCTGGATGATGGGCACCGGGTCGGACACGGCCTCCATCTCCTGAAGAGAGTTGAAGATCTTGACAGCTTCATCTTGCAGGCTGGTGTAGCCCTTTTCCTTTTGCACTGGGAGAGAGAGAGCGCAGGTACAAAATTACAAAAAAAAAAACTAAACTAAAAAACATGAAAACAACTAATACAAAAATAGAAATGATAATAATAGCTATAAAACATTAAAGAGTCTGGAGTTGTGTTTTGTTTCATTCACACAAGTTTAACACACTAATCCCGTATGTTTAGCCTGAGCTCATCTTTCAAACAGAAAACACTTTGATCCACCTTGTGATGTCATGTGGAAAAACAGGAAGTGCTCCACTGTGTTTTTAAACTCCATACACCTTCACTACAATCATTTGGATAATTTAAAACCTGGAATTGCCTCTCTACTGAACTAAAGGTAAAAGTAACTTGAAAAAGTTCCACTACATGACATCACAAGGTGGAACAGAGCATTTTGAGCTTTGGCAATGTAGACAGTCTAATACTAAACATGTGTGAGTGAAATAAAACACAACTCCAGGTATGGCTTAAAGCTCACAAGAGTCAATTTTTTTAGTTTATGGTTTAACATAAAACATAATAAAATGTATAATGGTGTTGAAAAAAATAAATATGATAAACACACAAAGACCAGACTCACAGTGGACGCTGACATCTCCATATGGCAGAGGTAGAAGAGGTGAGTGCAAAGGATGCTGGGTATATCTGAGGATGGGGTTCCTCCAGTAGGTCTGCTCCACAGCCTCTACATTCAAACTGCTCTCCTGTGAAAACACGACAGAGGTCAGGCAAAGAAGAAGCTGGTATATAAACTACCCAATGCAGAACTATTCTACAACAATATTGAAAGTTTACTAGAAATTAAACACAAGAATTGGACTTGAGTGACATCAGAGTTCTGCACCAGGTCGGGTATCCGCAAATAGTTGCTGAAATAGGCGGGTTTTAACGTTCTGGCGGGCCAGGTGAATCAAATTAACAATGAATGGGTGAAAAATACTTGACACGTGTCCAAGACATCCGTTGCCCTGGAAACATGTGCCATTTCCAGGCTGAGAGAGTAACTTTAATGTTTTTATAACATAAAACCATCAGCGGAAGTGATCAGCTCAGCAGCTGCGCTCCTGGTTTAGTCCTGGTGTAGTGTAGCTTTGATATAATCACAGGTTAGAGGGCGGGTGCAGTGCTGTACTGTACAGGTGCGGGCGGGTGCTGGTCTCCAAAAATTTACCCGTGCATGACTCTGACAGCTGATGTTTGTTTTTCCAGTGTTTTTTTTTTTTTTAATGTAATTTTGTGTAGGGAGGGGAAGTGTGTAGGAGGGTTTTGTTTTGTTTTTTGTTATGTAAATTTTCAAGAAAAGAAATTAAACACATGAAAATATGACAGGAAAACTGAAAGAAAGAAGTCAGCACTGCACACAGAGGTGAGTACCTCACTTCACTACAGACTGTGTCCTTGGTTTGGAAGACTGAAAACCCAAAGGTCAGGTCAAATGTTATTATAATAGTATTATATAGATATTACATTTCACCATGTTCAGAGCTCTGGTCTGGACGTGTGGAGTTAAATTACCTTGATATCCCTGATGAGTTGTTGTGTTGGTGTTTCTATGGGAACCTTGCTGTCTATGGCTCCCTGGATGGCATTAGCCCAGCGCATGGCTTCATTTAGCATTTTGGTGTAAAGGCGATAAGAGTGCTTTCGTCCATGGACAATGATATTCCAGTAACCTGAGGGAACAGTATAGAGACATCATGTTACTGAGATCAGGAGTTATGGATAAAATACTCTATTATTATGAAAGGATATCCTGCTTTGTACCAGTGTCTTTGAAGACCTTCTCATCCGGCTGCACCACGGAGCAGAGGCTGTTGAGGACTAAAGTGCCCAGTTTGGTGGCATTTCGTTCTGAGGACTTGTAATAATCCAAAGAGTTTGTTGTGAGGACGAACCAGCGCTTCTTCAGCTTCAGAGAGGTGCTTTTGACTCCGGACTTCATCTCTTTGTGAAGCCAGCCTGAGGGAGCAGGTCCGGACAGGAGCCAGTTTAGTCAAGTCAAACAGTGGATTAAAGTTAAACATTTTAGCTGATTTAAAGTTCAAACTCACCTCTGACTAGAAACTCCTGTCCGTCACTCCTAGTGTCTCCCTTGGACTTCTGGAGCAGTCCGATCCAGTGGTGCATCTCTTCGGGCGTGTCCGTGTTACAGTGGATCACTCGATTTGCAGTGATGATCACAAAGGAATTAGGTCTAAAACAAAACATTGTATTGATCACACTGTTGTAAAGTGATCAAATAAAATGAGTAAAACACAGTTAAAGACCACTGGGCATCTCTCACCTGTCGGGGTTGTCAGACGCACAAACTGAGTCAATCAATCCCACATCTAGGGTTCCCTGTAGAGTGTGAAAAATATGCATATATAATTAAATCAAATGACTATAAATACAAGTTTATGGTATGTATAAGTTTGTGATTCTGCCGCAGTCCAGGTCAAAACTTACTATTGTTTCCTAAATACTGTCATAATTGAGTGAGTGAGAGATTGGTGGTGATTGGTGAGAGGACATTCCAGCAGATTGACTTCCATGTTTAATTGTATAAAATGCAATTGTCAGTTTGTTTGTCGGTTTGCCATTGTCATAATATGTCAGTGTATTACATTAAAAAACACAATTATTACGCATTAGCGATAAACAGTTTTAGAAACAGATATATATATCCTGATATGGGTCCCTTCAAGGAACTAATTCATCCCTCAGCCACCAACCTTGGCCTGATTGTAGACTGTAATTTTAAACTTAATAAGCAGGTAAATTCTGTTGTTAAATCCAGTTTTTATCACCTTCGTCTTTAATCCAAAGTGAAAACTTTTTTATCTTTTAATCATTTTGAACAGGTCATGCACGCTTTTATTTCTACTCATCTGGACTACTGCAATGAGCTCTATACAAGAATCAACCAAAAAGCAAATCGTCACTTGCACTCAGTCCAGAACTCTGCAGCGTGTCTTTTATCAGGGAGCAAAAAGCGCGATCACATTACCCCAATTCTTGCGTCGTTGCAATGGCTTCCTGCTAATTTTAGAATTGATTTTAAGATTTTATTCTTTGTTTTTAAAGCTTTGAATGGACTGGCCCCACAGTATGTCTCAGACCTCCTCCAAATTTACACCCTGCACATGCTCTGAGGTTTGAGGGTCAGCTCCAACTCGTCGGGCCTAAAAAGAGACTTAGACTCTTTGGCCGATCCCAAACTCTGGAATGTTCTGCTTTCATGTATTTATTTTATTATTTTTGTTCATTGGTTTTAGTAATTTTGTAGTAATTTTGTAATTTTGGAAACTGTCTTGTTTAAAATGTGCTATACAAATTAAGTTGGATTGGACTGGATTGGGTATATATTGATACATATTGATTTTATATAATATAGACTAAAGTATCCATAGACCATTTTTCCCTACTGTAACAACTAAACTGAGCCTTGTGAGTGCAAAGTAGACTTGGGTCTGGGGTTTTGGCAGCGAGAGGAAACAGGAACTCACCACTGCGTTCTTTGGGTTGGCCTGTTCGTGGTGCATCTCCAGGAGCTGCTCCGGACTGGCGCTGTGCACACGACTCAGCACATTGAACCAACCGCTGAGGGGTCACGGAGAGGGGAGGGGGAGGAGAGGAAGAGGGAGGGAGGGAAGCAGCAGAGGAGAGAGGGAGGGGGAGAGAGAGAGCAAGACAGCATTAAAGACAGTTTCCATGGATAACCACAAGAGGGAACAATGACTCAACGTATTCCTGTTAAAACTCTTGTGTTAAGCCGTGTTATGATGTTACCTCCACAAAAACAGACCTGGAGCTGTGTTTTGTTTCATTCACACATGTTTGAGTAATCCTGCATTATTAGTCTGTCTGCATCTCCAGAGCTCAAAATACTCTGTTCCATCTTGTGGAAATTGGTTGAAATGATCCAAATAGGTATGTTTTTCATGGAGAAAAGAACATTACAACACACAGCAGATCATAAAATATTGTAATATAGACCCTTTAAAAGCAAGAAGCAACAAAAAGACAAAGTAAAACAAAACAAGAAACTGTAAAATTATGTAAGAATATATTGTAACATTGCAAAATAAATAAATAAAAAACAAAGACTATGTTAATAATGACATGAAAAGACTCAAGAGTGACTCAACTAGGAGTAATACTTTAAAAAATAGAATTATCTCATTGAAGGTGAACAGAATGGCTTGATTATAGGAAAAATTTTAGCATTTATGTCATTTATTACTACTACTTATACTTAATGATACTTACTAGATTTATATTTTCACACAATCAACAAAATTGTAAACTGTAAAAGCTAGGACTGCACAGTGTTTTAATCAAAGTTGCCAGACCTGATTAGTTAGGAATAAATGCTTTATTCAGCCACAAAGTCTTTCTAATTCTACTGAAGTGTATTATAATCTTTATGCGCCTAAGTAAATCGTCGTAAGTCCTTTTAAATTACCTTGCATCTTCTGGAGATTCTGCGTAGATGTGGTAGGTCCTCTCTTCTGTCACGATGTTCAGTGCGTTTTCCTTCTCGTGATTGTCCACGATTTCCCTAAACATAAAATTACACGTAATAAATACAAACTCTTCATTCAAAATAACTTATATTATTAAAGGTGCACTGCGCAACTTTTTCTCGTGGAGGGTCTGTCACCTGCTTGTCTCCATGTAGATGTTATTGCTTTGCTCTAGAATGTTCCACAGTATAAATTAAACGTATCTATCTCAAGGGATGCAACTATAGGCTATATTACAAGTCAGATCTGTGGAAAGGCAACCCTATTCACCGAGAAAATGATTGTATTTTTATGAATAAATGCTATATAGATTTAGATATTATGTGTCTAAATATTAAGACAAGCAGGTGACACTCTCCACCAGAAAAATTGCGCAGTGCATCTTTAAAGTGCATATGACAGTTTTTATTTTTTTCTAATTACGATAGTATCGGTGGTAAATATAAATCATAGTTTTAGATCAGTTAAGTGGCAGTTTGTTGAAAAAATGTTGAAAATAAAAGTACAGTGAGATTTAAAACAGTAGTACCTCTAATTATGTCAACACGGAAAATTCTATCCAAAATGCACGGACAATAATGTGCATTTTTATGGTAATTTAAACTTTAATTTATAGGGATGTAACAATAACCGAAATATTGTGACATTGTATCGTCAGAAGTCTCTCAATAATATCGTGGACCATCACAATATATCAAATTACAAGTTCCTTTGCTTAAATTCATTGTTTTGGTGCAGCAACAGCTAAAAGAACCCGAGGGAACTACATAGACCATGATCCTTTGCTCTATTTCTGTCAAATGAAATTACTTATTAACCACTTTAAGATCTTAACTCTTTGGTTTATGACAGAACCAAAGGCTTGTCAAGACATTTTTAGAGGAAAAAGCAGTATATTCACAATTCTTTCTTCTGTCTTCTACAAAATATCATAATAAATATCGTACTGTGACATGCATATAGTGAAAATATCGTACAGAGGAATTTGGATTTTGTTACTTCCTTATTCAATTAACAAAATAAAGGTGTGAAGTGTTTAGTCTAATCATTTAAAAAAATGTAATCTAGCCATGATTTCTTTATGGTTGCTAGGTAACAACTATGGAATTAACTCTATGTGTGTCAAATCTGTGAAAACTTGGAAAAATTAGGCAGATATTTAAAAATCTTAAAGGACCCAGATTACGCTATTTTTTGAGCTATGTTATTATGTAGTTTCCTTATCACAAAAAGACCTGGAGTTGTGTTTTGTTTTCGTTCACACGTTTAACACACAAATCGTACATATTTAGACTTTAGAGTTCTTCTCTCAAACTGAAAATACTCTGTTCCACCTTGTGATGTCATGTGGTAACACAGGAAGTGCTCCACTGTGTTTTTTTCTACTGAAGTAAAGGTAAAATGTAGCTGAAAACTCTTGCTTCAGGACATCACAAGGTGGAACAGAGCATTTTGAGCAGGGATTTCCAACCTGTAGCTCGGGAACTACCTGTAGCTCTCCACCCCATTTCAAGGAGCTCACCAAGGGATTTCTGAATTATACATATTGTGCTGAATCAGTAAAATTTGTTGAATTACTATTGTAAATCTTATCATTTTAATGCCCAGTTCTGTGCACTATTAAATGAATAATGGTTTATATTTTATAAGCATCTAACTGTTCCCAATCTATGGCTGTGGCTCTTATATATACTAAATTTCTTGTTAAAATAAGTAGCTCTTTGGCATTTTTGTTTTGTAAAGGTAGCTCACCAGAGGAAAAACGGCTGGAGACTTTAGAGATGTAGACAGACTAATAATACATATTTTCTCAAACGTGTGAAAATGAAACAAAACACAGCTCCAGGTCTGTTTTTTATGTTTTTGAAAAGGTAACAACATTATAACATGGCTTAAAGCTCAGAAGAGTCAATTTTGCGTAATATAGGACCTTTAAATATAATAACATTAACTACAATTTAGCAAAATAAACAGTTTAACTTGTCATATACACTTTCATAAAACAACATGTCTCCCATACTTAGCAGCTCGGATATCAATGGTCCCTTTCTGCTTCTCCTCGCTGTCGTTCTCGAAGTACATGAGCTTGTTTTCGCGAAGCACGAACCAGCGCATTTTCCAGTTCCGTCGTGACAGCGTGGACATGCCCCCTCCCTTCTTGTAGAGCCAGCCCGATTTGAGAGAGTCCTGCTTCGCCCGGAACCACATGAAGGTGTCATCTTTTAACACGCACCAGCGCCGTCGCCAGGGAATCATGAGCCCGCCTGGGAGAACAAAAGCAACGGGGAAATGTGGTTTAGAGGGAGGGCTAGTTCTAGTCAAAATCAGTGGGGGATGAAGTATTCAGTTTTGTTAGTTTTGTTTTTAAATAAAAGTAAAAGTAATACATGAAAAAGCTCCTTAAAGGTGGACTATGTCACTTTTCATTTGGGGTCCGTCACCTGCTTGTTTCACAGTATGACATAAAAAAGCTCTACCTTACATTTATTCAATTATAGCTCCAAAATACTTAGAGAAACAAGGGTCGCCTCTTCACAGATCTGACCTGTAACTTGGTCTGGTTTGGTCTCCATGAAGATAGAAAGGTTTAATGCCATACTGTGAAACATTCCAGACGAAGCAATAACATCTCCATGAAGAAAAGTATTTGACAGACCCTCCACGAGAAAGTTACATAATGCAAATTTAAGTAAAACAACTGAAGTACCTGTTTAAAAATGTACTTTAAAAATAAAAAGTAAAAGAATCAAATGTAGTGATTTTGAGAAAGATTTTAGCTTATTTCAATGATTCAATCGATTTCTTAATCTGGTTTGCTTGAAGTTGAGACATAAACTCAAATTAAATGTGCTAAAAAAAAAGTTTCAGCCATTTCAGCAGGTCTCAAATTTGGTATTGAGTTTGCATCTGTAATGAGTCATATGCAAATCTTATCATACAGTCAAAAAATAACCAAAAATGTCCCAGTAGTACAAAGAAATTGTACACACGGTAAATATTGACCCCAAAAATATATGGTTCCAGCTTTCATATATTGAACAATAAGCAGTGGTGGATGAAGTACACAATTTTGTTACTTAAGTAAAAGTACAGACACAGGGGCAAAAGGTTACTCAAGTAAAAGTAAGTCTAAATCTACTTAGGTAAAACTCCTGAAGTACAATTAAAGCATCAAATGTAGTGATTTTGATAAAGATTTTAGCAGATTTTAAGTGGTTCAGTTGATTTCTTAAATTATGTAGCTGTTTTTTTGTTTTTGGTTTGCTTAAAGTTGGGATGTTAACTCAAATTTAATGTGTAAAAAATAAATCAGCAGGTCTCAAACCATAAAGAAAAGTACTTTTTACTTTTCAGTCCAGATCTAAAATGTAGTGGAGTAGAAAATACAGATACATGCTTTCAAATGTAGTAAAGTGAAAGTAAAAATTATCCACTGCAAAATGTACAGATACCTAAGAATTGTACTTAAATATTGTACTTTTACTTTTGTACTCTTCCACTACTGGACAAAATACAAAGAGTGAGTAAATATTATATAACTAAATAATGCACTATGCCAAAGATAACCATCACCATTAATAATTAACCATTTATAGCCGATATCCAGTGCACTAAAAATGGCAAATATCAGTCCAATATATCTGTATTAATCACTATTTCTCATATTCATAGATTTTGTGTTTGTCTATTGTCAAAAGAGTTAAAAATCAGATACAAATTGATACTTCTGGCTATTTCTTGCTAATTTTTATACTTATTTAGAAAGTATTATTACCATTTATATATTTTTTTCTCTTTGTTATTATATTTATTGTGATGTGTGAGCTACTGTGTCCAAGTAATTTCTCTCGTGGATCAATAAAGTTTGTCTAATCTAAAACTAGTATCTAAACTACTCATTTGAGCAAGCATTGATAAGAAAATAAAGTCACATTCACAGAACAACAACGTCTCCATGGCAATAAGAAGATGACGGATTTTCCACCAGAAAAGTTACATAGTACAGATTTAAGTGCGGTGAGGCTATTTTAGCACATACAATTTAAAAAAGAACTCAAAATGATTCAGGGGACGCCAGGAAATCGTGAGCCCGCCTGGGAGAACAAAAGCAAAGGGGACATGTGGTTTAGGGGGAGGGCTAAGAGCTCGTCAAAATACAGAGAGAGAGTAAATATTATGTGACTAAATATGCAGTACGTCAAAGATAACCATTACAGTTTGGAAGTGAATACAAGCAGTTTAAAGTAGTACACGCACAGAGTATTTTACTGTGATGGAAGTGGTGCCTGAATGGCTGCTCGAGTAAAGGGTTTGTACTGTTTTTAATTGTTTTCTTTGTGCAGCATCCTTGAGTGTTTAGAAAAGTGCTATGTAAATAAAATGTATTATTATTGTTAAATGTTTCATGGCTGATGCTGATAGAATTGTTAAGAATCCAGAGAAACCAGGTGATGGCTTCTGCTGATATTTTTCATATGGATATGTAGAGTTAATTTAGGTAATTTCACCGCAAATTATCAAATTCAATTTAGTACAAACTCATCCACAACACTCTGTTTGGACTAAAGAGTTAAAACAAAGCTTTATGTATATATATATTTCATGCATAGCTCTACTGGGGATGTACGGCTGATATCTAATATGCTAAAAAGGGCAAATATAGGTTTGATATATTGGCCCTTTTTGATTAATCACAAACATTACTACCAATATTTATAGATTTAGTGTGTATTTACAGTTTTTTGCAGCTGGATAATTAGTTTCATAGGGTTGTCAAAAGTGTCAAAATCAGATACAAATTGATCCTAAAACTAGTATTGAGACTAGATACTCATTTGTGCAAGTGTCAAGACTAAAAAGTCACATTCACAAGATAGAAATGAACCTTTCCTGAATAGTTTTAGAATGATCTTGAGCTGTATAAGAAAAAGTATAAAAGCTCATAGACTAGTATACGCCCATGGACCATAAAGGACCTACATGGACCACTGAGGGATTACACAGATACCACATATAAATATGGTAAAGTTATGTTAAAAAATGAATTGGTGCATCCCAAAGCAAAACAATAACAGGTGGCCATCCACCAGAAAAGTTACACAGCATGGGTTTAACTGTGGCTAGGCTATTTTCGAAAAGATGATTCAGGGGATATAAAAGACTGACAATCTTTTAAGGATCTCTATTACCCTCTCTTTGGATCTATGTTATAATGTTGTTTCCTCATCACAAACAGACCTGGAGTTGTGTTTTGTTTCATTCAGACATGTTTAACACGCAGATCCATGTTTAGTTCTTCTCTCAAACTGAAAACAGTCTGTTCCACCTTCTGACGTCATTAAGTGAATCCACTGTTTTTAAACTCCATATGTCTGCACAACCCGTGTATTTGCCTAAATTTGAAGCTTGGACCAAACCAGGACCAAACCAGGTTCAAACCAGAACCAAACCAGGACTACACCATGACCACACTAGCCCCAAACCAGGATCAAACCAGGACCAATCCTGGACTTGAGAGAGAGAGAGAGAGATCTGAGCCCATGGAGCAGGGTATTCACAAACCCGTCCCGACACTCAGTCCTGGTCTAGCTCTGGTCCAGTCCCGATCCAGACCCGGTCCAGACCCATCCCAGTCCTGTCCCAGTGTCCCAGTCCCGGCCCAGTCCCGGACCAGTTCTGGTCCCCTCATGTCTCAGGTCACTATAGGACAGTAGTGCAGATATCATGAGCCTGTGCAGGTTGTTTTCACCATTGCCAATAGCTCCGGTTTGACATTTAAGTTGTAGCTATTTTACATTTATTATTTTTTTTATATCTCACGTCAGGAGAAGTGGGTGGATGGTGTACCCCCACGTACCATGTCTACAACACCCCGGTGACATCACAAGGTGGAACAGAGCATTTTGAGCTTTGGAGATGTAGAGAGACTAAAAATAAAGGTTTGCTCAAACGTGTGAATGAAACAAAACAACTCCAGGTGTGTTTTGATGAGGTAACAGCATTATAAAATGTCTTCAAGCTCACAAGAAGAGGAGGTTTAAATCTGATAAAGTGACTCACTCTTCATGTACAGATAGCCGTGGAAGTAGGGAGGCCCAGATCCGTTCAGGAGGTTGACTCTGCCATTGGAAACCTCTTCATCTGTGTCCACATAGGCATCGTTCTCATCATCACTGTCGATGAACTGAAAAGAACCAAGCAGAAACAGATCTGAGTGAACTGGCGAAACAATGAAACCTCTTAATACCAGTCTGACTTTTGTTTGTCTTTATCTCTGAGCCTGTCGCTTGAAGCTATGCACCTGAAAGGCACTAATTCTTTGAGCTTGCTGCTTGTGTTGACACTGGCAGTTTCTGTGAGGTTATCAGGGCCAAAATCACTCAATCACACTGAGGAGATGAACTCTTGGAGAAGTTTTTAAAAAGTAGAAAGAAATTGGAATGTGTAAAAAACAACATTAGTTACACAAAAATATGTTTGAATAAGAAAAGTGATGATTAATAGACATTCACTGGGCACTGACTGCACAGACACAATCATAATCTTATCTATACCTCTTACCAATTTTTGCAGTAATACCAGATTTAGGAAGGGGCAAGGCCACTATACTAGCACTGGCAAGCTTTTTGTAATGTGTATTTTTGAGTGAAATGTGCTGATTTAGGGTGATCCAGGGGTGACCAAACTTTTTTCATCAAGGGCAGGAGTGGGCAATTATTTTTTCCATGGGGCCACATGAGAAACAGAAAATATTGTGGAGGGCACGGCCAAAATGCTGAACTCAATTCTGCATAATATTAATTGTATTTCTTTATAAAAAGCAGTAAATAGTAGGGATGTAACAATATACAAATCTCATGGTATGATATTTATTGCGATATTTTGGAGAGGCTAATATTATTGTAGATGGGACACTTTTGTTTTTAAAATACCTTGACGAGATTTTGGTGCGAATTATTACTGTCATAATCCCAAGAATTCAAGTAAAAAACATATCTCTTCATGTTGTCTGCACTGAAATGAATCATGGGATATGTAGTTCCCTAGGTTTAGAAGCTGTTGCTGCTATAAAATCACGCATTTAAGCAAATGAACTTGTGATTTGATATGTTGTGACAGCCCATGATATTATTGTGAGACTTTTGACGATACAATATCACGATATTTCGGTTATTGTTACATCCTGAGTAAATAACACTGTTTTGACGAGCTGGTAAGATTGGTAAGAGTTTATGTTTTGACTAAGCAATGAAAAAGTGAGATTCTCTTACAAAAAATATAATTTAAAAACACCAGCTTTAGTCCATGCGTGGGGTAAAATTATAAAATATGTTTATTTGGTAATTCCAAATTATCTTAAATAGGACGGTCAGAGTCAACCAAAGGACCATATGTGGCCCTTGAGCTGGACAACACCCAGGTCTGATCAAGGTCGACTTATCAAAACACATACAAAGCAGAAGGCAGATGGATGGCCATAGACTGGTGCCCAGTACAGTGAATCATTGTAATATGTGCATTTTTAACAGGTTAGAATGAGCCACCAGAGCTTTATTCAATATAAGATCCTAATTTGGGCCAACTAACCTGGTAGCTTGAGGGCCAAGAAAAACTGGGCCATAGTTTGGACATGCCTGATTTAGACTGTTGGTCAAAAAGGTTATAAAGTAATATTTCTGTACTTTTATTAATTAACGAGTTTAATGAGAATTCATTTATGAGTAAGTTTGCAGTCCTTTTACATTGTCTGCTACTTAAACCTCAACAAAGACATTTAAAGACATGTTTTAACACATTTCTGTTAGATTTTCAATATTGTCTGAAAATCATTATCGGGATACTAAAAACATATCAGATTACTAATTTTTGACAATAAAGCTTAATAACATAATAAAATAATAACTTTGAAGCTATGGGAGACTGCTGAAGCTATTTATTTCATTAAAGTTGGACTGCACAACTTTTTTGATGGAGGGATAGCTACTTACTTGTCTCCATGGAGATGATACTGCTTTACCTTGAATGTTCCATGGTATTAAACATATTCATCTACTATTTTTTTCATTATGTGTCGCTCAAAAATACAATAATTCCTTCTGTGAATAGGGGCGACTTTCCACAGATCTGAACTGTAATGTAGCGTAGTGCTGTAACCTGCCTGACTCTCTTGTGAATAAATAGGTTTAATCTATACTGCGGAACATTCTAGACAAAGCAATAACATCTCCATGGAGACAAGCAGATGGCGGATCCTTCACTGGAAATGTTACACAGTGTATTTTTAAGGCCAGGTAAACCAAAACACCTCTTTTTTGCCATCATGAGCAATGTCAAACATGAGTACATCGTGTAACTTGGAGGGTCCGTCAAATGCTTTTCTCCTTGGAAATGTTATTGCTTTGTCTGGAATGTTTCCTTTCTTTCTTCATAGAGACCAAACCAGGCCAAGTTACAGGTCAGATGTGTGGAGAGGCAACCCTGCTCACAGTCAGAACAGCTGTTTTTCTAGGTATTTTTGAGCTATAAAACCACCTGTAATTTATCTATTCATTCAAGGAACGTCTGTCTGTGTGTTTGTTTGTTTGAAGGGTGTCATTCTAATGGGACGGGTGTGTGCAGTGCCAATTTTCATGTTGTTAGGACAAAAAATGCCAATGATCTGGTAAAATGAGTGATATATTTTAAATACTAGTGTAATAAATGAAAGATACAGCTGTTTAATGTCATACTGTGGAACATGCCAGGCAGAGCATTTACATATCCATAGGAACAAGCTGGTGCCTCCGCTCAATTTCATTTTTCTAGCGACTAGGTCAGGAATCGGAATACACTAGACGGTTCGCAAAAACCCCGGAAGTGCGAGTTCGGGCACCAGCCAATCAGCGAAGAGCCATAGACTCTGTTTTGGCAACAATTCCCGAGATCAAGGATTCAAAGCTGGAACAAAGAGAATGTTTGGTGAATTTTATCAAAGGGAAAGACGTTATTGCCCTTCTTCCTACAGGATTTGGGAAAAACTTAATATACCATTTAGCCTCATTAGCGGCGCATTACATATGTCACGACCAAATAGCAGGGATTGGTTAAATAAAAAAGTACCCGCCTACCGTCGAGCGAACGAATTCTAATGCTGCGAGGTCAGACGGTTTCTACAAAGTGAAACCGGGTGATGAATCAGGCTAAGTGACAGACCCTCCACCAGAAAATTTACACAATGCCCCTTTAGTCCAACAAAACTGTAAGAATTCAACATTAAAAACAAATAAATGAAAATCTTACCGAGTCGGAGCTGCCCCTGAATGAGTCCAGACTGTTTTGTGTACCGGAGGACTTCCTCACCACCTCCTCGTCGGTGATGTGTCCGTCATTGATACTCGCCCCCGAACTCCCATGAGCCTCTTCAAATTCTTCCTGGTCATAGTCCGACTCCGGGTCTGGGAGGTTGCTGTGGGACACTTGACCATTCACTGACTCATTCAGTTTTGACCCCCGGGTCGCTCTCTCTTCCCTGTGTCCATTAGTAAGAGCAGGAAGAGGAGCGGGAGCATGGTTTGTGGAAAGATTGGGAACATGACTAAGTCCGTTGGAAGTAACTGGTTTATTCTGTACAGAGGAGGGGGAGGGAGTAGCTAGCTGTCCTTCTGCAAAATCTGGAGGAGGAGGTGGGATACTCTGGAACACTTCTTTATCCAGAGGAGCTGAAACCGGTGAAGGAAAGTCTGGCAACGCTACGCACTCATCTTCAGCGTGGAACCCCTCATCCACCTCTTCTTCGGCGAGGGGAGCGGTGGATTCCGTGGGGTCGTGAAGGTTTTCCTCGCTGGATAACGAAGGCTCCAATCCACCAAAATCCAACAAATCAAGGAATTCTGTAGCCACTCGCGACGCTTCCTTCTCCAGGCGGTAGATCTCGGCGTCCCTGATTTGGCGAAGCTCCTCACGGGACATGTCTCCAAGCAAAGAAACGCCGTCTTCTTGCTGTTTCTGGAGACGTTCGATCTCGCGTTCCAGTCTTAGGATTTCCTCCATCTGCCTGCTCTCCTCCTCTGTGGTGTCAGAGTGGGACAGGGTCTGGGACAGCCCCTTCTGAGACAAAACAGTGACAACAGCGTTAGTCATTTTCCTTTGTGTGTTGTCATCATGTGCTAGGGATTTTTGCAATAACAAGGAAAGCAATGACTTAACAGTATTTGTGTTCAAAGTGTATTATTGTATTGTACTGTACATTTAAAGGTCCTATATTACACAAAATTGATCGTTGTGAGCTTTAAGACAAGTTATAATGTCGTTACTCCTCAAAAACATACCTGGAGTGTTTCATTTCATTCACACATTTTAGTAATCCTTCATTATTAGTTTAGTAATCCTTCATTATTAGTGCACTGTGTAACTTTTCTGGGGTCGGGCCCTTCGACATGAGAATATATGGCATTCATTTTTTTCAATTACAGATGTTTTTATATTCCAAAAATACAGTGAAAAGCATGTGTTGAGTCTGTGAGGAGGCGATCCTTTCCACAGATATGACCAGTAACTTCTGTTGGCGACATCTGCTTGTGTCCAAGGAGTTTTACAATGTATGTCGAACATTCAACACAAAGCAATAACATCTCCATGGAGACAAGCAGGTGACCATCTGCCAGAAATGTTACATAGTGCACCTTTAAGAATTATCAATTAAAACATATGATTATAACATCAATATATAAAAAATCTTGTAGGTTGTACTTGATTTTCAATTCTATACTATAAGAATAATGGTTCAGCTGGTTCACATTTGTTAGCATTTTGATAAAATCTTTTGGGATTGTTTACGTCCTGTAGCGCCAACACTAATACGTTTCAATAGACGAGAAGACAGAATTTACCTTTTCACAGGCGCCGTTCACCATCACTGAGCTCCTACAATGAGAAAAAAATGTATTAAATTAATTAATTATTTATCCCTGTGGTGTATGGGAGGAGGCGGTGGTGGTTAAGTCCTGGTTTAGACCTGGTTTAGACCTGGTTTAGTTTTCGTTTTAGACCTGTTTTAGACCTGGTTTAGTCCTGGCTTAGACCTGGCTTAGTCATGGTTTAGTCCTGGTTTAGTCCTGGTTTAGACCTGGTTTAGATCTGGTTTAGTCCTGTTTAGACCTGGTTTAGACCTGGTTTAGATCTGTTTAGACCTGGTTTAGTCCTGGTTTAGACCTGGTTTAGTCCTGGTTTAGACCTGGTTTAGACCTGGTTTAGTTCTGGTTTAGTCCTGGTTCAGACCTGGTTTAGACCTGATTTAGTCCTGGTTTAGACCTGGTTTAGACCTGGTTTAGTCCTGTTTAGACCTGTTTTAGATCTGGTTTAGATCTGGTTTAGTCCTGTTTAGACCTGGTTTAATCCTGTTTAGACCTGGTTTAAACCTGTTTTAGTCCTGGTTTAGTCCTGGTTTTAGACCTGTTTTAGACCTGTTTTAGTCCTGGTTTAGTTCTGGAGGAGGCACAGTTCGCAGGGCCGTATGGGACGAGGGGGTGCGCGCTTTTATGGCCCAGTACCAAATGACCCACGGCCCGGTACTGGTCCATGGCCCGGGGGTTAGGGACCCCTGGTATAAAGTACATAAAGAAATCCTAATGAAGTACTGTCTTCATTCAAAAATAGTCTTGAGCAGAAAACTATAGTTGCTGCCCGAGCCTCTGATTGTATGTATTCCTTCTCTCAAACCCAAGTAGAAGTTTTGTGTAGATAGAAGTAGTTATAGTACCAATGGTGCAACTTCTAGTTTTAAATTATATTTATTTTTAATGGGGGAATAACATTATATGGTCAAAAGCACAAAAAGTAAACGTGGAACAATATAGATTTTTAAGGAACATAATTAAGAACCAACTTGCATCTAAGTTGAGTAAAACTGAGAACAAAATAATTGACTAGTCCAAACTTCCTTATAATTAAAATAGCATAAAATCATTATAAACCAACACACACCTGTCATCTGTTTTCTGTTTCTCCATCAGCTCCTTCCTCCTCTCCTCCTCCTCTTTCTCCCTCTGTCTCCGCTCCTCCTCCTCCATCTTCCTCCTCTCCTCCTCTTCTCTCCTCAGCCTCTCCTCCTCCATCCTTCTCCTCTCCTCTTCTTCCTCCCGTCTCCGCCGCTCCTCTTCCTCTCTCCTCCTCTTCTCCTCCCTGAGCTGCTGGTAGAGCGAGCGTGCCCTTTGACCCCTGTGGTGCTTCTGGAGGATGATGGCGGCAGTTCGAATACGCAGGAAGAGGCGTCTCCAAAAGTGGGCGCGGTAGTTCTTCTGGATGGTGACGACGCTGGATCGAACCTTGTTATAATGTTTCCTGGGAAAAGAAAAAAAATAGAAAAGATAAACATTATTTATTAATCATTTATTGTTCAAGCTCACAAGAGTCAATTTTGAGTAACATAGGACCTTTAATAAATTACAATATGCAGCAAAGTAATAGCAAAATAACTGAGATTATAGGGGATATATGAATTGCTTATATTATTCAGTATTCTGTCACTAAATACATTTTTAAAGTATTCTTCACATCACTGTTTATAAGTTAGGTTAGGTTGCTTTGTTTGAAATTTGGTGAATTTGTTTTGCAGATTTGAGAGGCTGGACCAACATTTCATATTTCATTGTACAATAAACACGTATAAAAACACAATTACAAAATAAAGTGTTACAGTGCTCCAGTGCAGAATGGTTTATTCCATAAACAATTAGTTAAATTCATCCATCACACTTGGCTAAAAACACAATAAGTATTAAATATATATAAAAACACATGATTTTTCCAAGACAGCGTACTAAAATTGATAGATAAATAGATTACAATTTATTCATAAGTATGATAGCAGCTAGAACAAAGCTCGTTTTAAAATGATTCGCTCTAGATCTTGGGACTAAAAGCCTCTTAACTGTGGGTTTCGTGGATGTTGCACGTCTTTTAAAATACTCTGGGACATCCTCTGTAAGTGTTTTGAGTACGGGGAGTCCAGGCGGCTCTGAGGACGGACAATCACCTCACTCGCCCATTTAACCAACTGATTCAGGGAGTTCTTGTTTTTGTTTTTTTAGCAGAGATGCTCCTAAACCATGAGACCAACGAAAAAGTTAAAACTGATTCCCTAAACGTCTTATAGAACAGTGTCATCATGGTTCTATCTGTATCAGAGAAATACCACGGTAGAATGGAAATAACATTGTAACTAGACATGTAGTTAAAGCATTCACATGATAAATGCCAACGGAAAAAGAACTCATCTGTTATTCTACTGTATTTCATCCTAACCCGGATCAATATGAAGACTATAAACTGCCATGAAATATGGTCCATGAAATGAAAAAAGAACTGTACCTGAATATAGCAAGTCAAAATTAGTATTCTGAATATGTATTATCTGTACATGTATTCAGTTACTTCCCAACACTGGCTGAAAAGTGAAAGTGCTTCTAGATACAAAAGAGAAATAAGTCTTTAGATCACACAATGTACATATTACTGTTACTGAATCCCTTCCAAAGGAACAAGAGTAAAGCCCGTTACGACCAAGACATGGTTTGCGACTAGGGATGTAACATTAACCGAAATATCGTGATATCGTATCGTCAAAAGTCTCACAATAATATCGTGGGCTGTCAAAATATATCGATTTACAAGTTCCTTTGCTTAAATGCATGGTTTTATAGTGGCAACAGCTTATGAACATCGGGAACTACATATCCCATGATTCATTTCAGTGCAGACAACATGAAGAAAAATGTTTTTTTCTTGAATTCTTGGGATTATGACAGAAATAATTCACACCAATATCTTGTCAAGGTATTTTAAAAGCAGAAAAGTGTCCTATCTACAATTATATTAGCCTCTTCAAAATATCGCAATAAATATCGTACCGTGAGATGCATATCGTGATAATATCGTACCGAGAGATTTGGAGATTGTTACATCCTAATTTGTGACTAAACAAACTTTCTTACAAACTACAAATTACTGCTGTTTTGGACAACAGGTATGTTCACACTTTCAATTAGAACATCTAGAAACTCGACTAGACCCGGAACTAATCCTGAACTAAACCAGGACTGTAAACAGGACCAAAAGAGGACTACCATCAGGACTAAAATGGGCACAAACTACAACCCAACAAGGACACTGTGAATATGAACGCACCCAAAGACCAAAATGATTCACCCACCCTCACACACACACGCACAGTAAAATCTTGAGTCTAAAGGTTAAGAAACTGAAACCAGACCGAACCATTTGGTGACTAATATTGTTTTCCATGTTTCCAACCAAATTCTCGGCTTCTTTCCCTTAGATCCAGCACACTTCATTTCATATTATTTCATATTTGTGTCCTATAGAACGACTTTGTGCTGAGCTGTGGTGGAAGAAGTAATCAAGTTTGCTACTTAAGTAAAAGTACAGATACTGGAGTGAATAAAAAGTTTAAATATCACATGAAAAAACTACTTAAAGGTACTCTATTTTTCTGGTGGAGTGTCCGTCACCCGCTTGTCTCCATGGAGATGTTATTGCTTTATCAAAATTTATTCATTACACATGTTTCTATTGCTCAAAAATACAATAATTCTCTTTGTAAATAGGTTGCCTCTCCACAGATCTGACCTGTAATGTAGCCTGTCTATAGTTGTACCTGCTTAAAAATGTGCTTAAAGAGTAAAAAGTAAAAGTATTTCACTAAAGACTTCAAATGTAATGATTTTTATACAGATCTGGGCTGAATTTCGCTCAACAGAAACTATTTATTTACTTATTTTTTTTACTCTAGCGGTTTTCATTTGTATATTTTTGTTTGCTCAAACTATGAACGTGTTAAAAATAAACCCTCGGCCTTTTCAGCAGGGCTCAAACAACAATAAAAAATACTTTTACTTTTCAAAAATGTAGTAGAGTATGTGTAGTGTCAAATGTAGTGAAGTAAATTTAAAACATATCCGCTTTAAAACGTACCTACCTACCTACTCGACCTCAGTTTTTACTTAAGTACAGTTCTTTACTACTTTTACTTTGTTACGTTTCACCACTAGAGTCCATGTGGGCGGTTGTGTTTAGCCCTGTGACTAAGCCCTGTCACCCACACACACATAAACACACGAGATTCAGAGCCAGACCACACACAATGCACCAGCTCCGTGAACTTTAACCCCACCTGACCCCCGACCCCACCTGGCCCGGGCAGTAATCACTTTCAGCACAGATAGTGTTACATGTAATAACACAATGAGACCTGTGTCCGGGGGGGACTTCCCTTCACTTGTGGTTTTAGGATTAGGCGGAAAAGGCGTAGAATCCACAACTTGAACTCTGTCGTCGGAATCATTGTACGGTCCCAACGGGGCTTTTTGCGAGGACGCCGTTTGACCTCGAACCCAGCGGAGCGCAGGTGGGATGGCGATACATTACATGGCAACAAATGACGGTCAACCATGATTAGAAAGCGCAGAAGAGAAGTGTGACTGTGCGGAGGGGGACTACAGGACGGCAGGATGTGAAGATAAGAAGTGTTAAAGGTGCTGATTTTTACTGTCTTAAAAACTGGAAAAACAGAACTAGTTAAATTTAAAGGGCACATATTACACTTTTGATCTGTTATAATGTTGTTTCCTCATCAGTTGTGTTTTGTTTCATTCACACATGTTTAACACACAAACCCTGAATATTTAGGCAAAGTTCTTCTCTCAAACACAAAACACTCTGACCTAGGGACCTGATTATGGAAATATTTTTTAGTTGCATTCATTCAGCATGTCTCTCTCTCTCTCAAAAAACCCCAAAACAAAAAACACTTTGTTATTGATAATTTATGCAAAACTTTCAAACTGAAATTAAATTCAGGCTACAAATCTGTACCTTAGAGCAGTTTGGGATGTATAAAACATAAAATGAATAAAATATACTTTAAAGATGAAACAAGGCATAGAATAACATAAATGTATCCAAAATAACCTATATATCCAGCTGTTCTACAATCTCTATACTAAAAAAATTAAATAAATATACTGATTTATTTAAAAATATCCCAAAATAAACTAGTTAATTGTTTCAACACAATTATATGAGTTCAGAGATCGTTTGGCACACAAATTGAAATTTCGAATCAAAATTCGATTGATTTCACAGCCATACACCTTCATTAGAATCATTTGGATGATTTTAGCTCTGGAACTGCCGATCTCTACTGAACTAAATGTAAAAGGAGCTGTTGGCTTGAAAACTACCACTACATGACAGCACAAGGTGGAACAGAACATTTTGAGTTTTGTAGATGTCAAACGTGTGCATGAAACAAAACACAACTCCATGTTTGTGTTTGACACAATAACAGTATTATAACATGGCTTTACAGATTTCTGTAAAGTAGGACCTTTAAAGGACATGCAGTAGTTCAAAGATATTCCTCACTTATTTTACGCACTCTGAGCATCCTGAGAACTCACTGCAATGAGTAAGTGCTTTTCTCAGCTCTCAAAGACCAGTCAATTAGCATGATTCTGATTATCGGATAATAATATGCTATACAATTTTGCGTAAATTGACTCTTGTGATCTTTAAGCCATGTTATAATGCTGTTACCTCCTCAAAAACATACCTTGAGTTGAGTTTTGTTTCATTCAGACATGTTCGAGTAATAGTTTATTATTAGTCTGTCTACAAAACAGCTCCTTTTACCTTCAGCTTGGCAACTCCAGAGCTGAAGTTTAAAAACACAGTGGAGCACTTCCTGTATTACCACATGAAATCACAAGGTGGAACAGTGTTTTCAGTTTGAGGGAAGAAGTCTGTCTAAATATACAGAGTTTGTGTGTAAAACATGTGTGACTGAAACAAAATACAACTCCAAGTCTGTTTGTGATGAAGAAACATTATAACATAGATCAGAAAATAGTCTAATATGGGCTCTTTGACAGTTATCCAGGGTGGTAGACTGATGTTTTGCAGTGTGAATTCAAAAACACACAAAGCGTATTTTCATCAGTGGAGCTTGAATCGTGCCAGGAGAGATGCAGCGTACAGTTGACAGACCAGCAGAGACCAGTGCCAACTCACAACTACACAAAACAATAAATGATAACAATCTGTACAAAACACCTTTGCTCAACGTGATCTAAAATTCTTACACAATTTTACAGATTTTTCTTAAATTTTGCGGCATGTGGGTGCTTATGATAATCCCTGCCACTTTAGGACCCAAGCAGATAAAACCCCAGACAACAGCCGTTAATTATATTTGCAGAGCTAACATTCAAACACACCGATGTTAAAGGCGCACAGTGGAATTTTTCTGATAGGGGCTCCCCTACCTGCCACTTTCTATGGAAAACGTTATTGCTTTGCCTGGAATGTTCCACAGTATGGCAATTAACTGATCAATCTGTGCATTTATTGAATTACAAGTTGAAAAAAACATGCATTCTTATTGTGAGCCTCTCCAGAGACATGACTAGTAATGTGGCTTCAGGTCTCCAGGTAGCAGATCCCCCAAAAAGTTATACAGTGCACCTTTAAAGTAGCCAGACTGGCGCCACCTAGTACTTCCGCTCAATTTCATTTCTCTCCAGCAACTAGGTCAGGAATCAGAATACACTAGACGGTTTCCAAGAACCCCAGAAGTTGTAGATTGCGCACCTGCCAATCAGTGAAGAGCTGTGAAGTCATGACGTCAAACTCAAGCGCCTGTCTTGGTCCCTTTTGTGGTACAGTACAACAGTAAACAAAGCGGTTGAGATGGATGTAGACAAAGACATACATTCTGTGTTGGCAACGATTCCCGAGATCGAGGATTTAAAGCCGAAACAAAGAGAGTGTTTGGTGAATTTCATTAAGGGGAAAGACGTTCTTCCTACAGGATTTGGCGCATTACATATGTCACGACCAAATAGAAGCGATTGGTTAAATAAAAGAAGTACCTGTCTACTGTCAAGCAAATGAATCATAATGCTGCGAAGTCAGATGGTTTCCACGAAGTGAAACCGGCTGATGAATCAGGCTACCTTTAAAGGGCACATATTACAGTATTTTCTGTTTTAATGTTGTTTCCTAATCACAAACATACCTGGAGTTGTGTTTTGTTTCATTCACACATGTTTAACACAAAAACCTGCATATTTAGGCTGAGTTCTTCTCTCAAACAGAAAACACTCTGTTTCAACTTAATCATGTCATGTAGCAATACAGGAAGAGATTCATTGTGTTTTAAAACTCTATACACCTTCATCTCTACTGAACCAAAAGTAAAAGGTAGCTACATGACATCACAAGGTGGAACAGAGCATTTTGAGCTTAGGAGATGCAGACAAACATGTTACTCAAACGTGTGAATGAAACAAAACACAGCTCCAAGTATGCTTTGATTAGGTAACAACATTATAACATGGCTAAAAGCTCAAAAGAATACATTTTTGTGTAATATAGGAGCTGTCAATTACATTACATTACATTACATTACATTAGTCGTACAACGTGTACTTCCCCATAAAGCATTTAAATACAATAGCAACAAAAGCAAACTCAAAGTAGGATCCCTGTTTCAAATATGCTACCTCTTTAACAGCGTGTAGCTTGAATGCCACTCGGGGCAGTCTCAGCGGTCCAATCAGTTAGCATTGCACCCAGTCCCTCGGCATACTGCAGACTAATCCATGCAACGCCAATGTGCTGACAATCGCAAAGGTACGCACGTGTGAGGAGGCATGACCGTGCACCAGCCCAATCCTAAACAAACACTGCCAACTGTCACTGCTACTCAACTGCCCCGCTCCTATCTGCCCCTCCTCCTCTTCTCCTCTTCTTCCTCTTCTTCCTCCTCTTACCCCCGCCGCTCTGCCCCCGCCCAGGTCCAGAGCACTCACCTTGCCACATAGCTAAGGATGTGGGCACGGATCACCATACCAGCCCTCCGCCGCACCTCCTCCCTCTCCTTCTCCAATGTCTGCTCCAGGACCTCTTTGAGAAAAACCTGTGAGAGAAGATGTGGTGAAACTTTCTGCAAAAAATAAAATAAAATCCAGTCTCCGGAGCTGTCTGCGGTTATGCTAAAAGACGAGCTGGAGAGCCGTAACACTGCAGAGAAGCATTGTCAGTAACAGAGTGTCTGCCTGCCTGCTATCGCTGCATTGGGAGCAGGACTGGCGTGCACAGGCAGAAAGGCAAGAGAAGAGAGGAGAGAGGGAGTGAGAAAGAGAGAGAGAGAGAGGAGGGAGGGATGGAGAGATGAGGGGGAGGGATGGTGGCAGGCGTCCAGATACAAGACCACACCCATTGTGTTCTTACAAGGGGAGAGAGAACTTTGTTAACTCTTTCCTGACTCCTGAAAAGTTGTCTAGTTTTGCACAATGGGACACAGCGATCCACAAACTTAGTAAAACACTTGAAAATGTTTTTAAAAACTACTTCATACTCTGATATTATGCTGCTATGTTATTGTCATGGCGGATTTAGTGTTAAAGCACAGAGTTTAGCAGTAACTTTCTGTTCATATCGCACCATTTTGTTGTATTTCATAGCTGTAAAGTGTGTAGTATGTGCATCTGAGAAGAGAGAAATAAAGACTTTACACTGTCTATATCACAAGTCTACTAAAATGTTTACTTTAAAGAGCTCATATTACGCTATTTTCTGATCTATGTTATAATGTTTCCTCATCGCAAACACACCTGGAGTTGTGTTTTGTTTCATTCACACATGTGTAACACACAAACCCTGCATATTTACACTGAGTTCTTCTCTCAAACTGAAAACACTCTGTTCCAGCTTGTGGTGTCATGTGGTAATACAGGAAGTGATTCACTATGTTTTTAAACTTCATATATCTTTAATGGAGTCTTTTGAATAATTTCAGCTCAGGAACTGTCAATCTCTACTGAACTAAAGGTGAAAGGAGCTGTCAACTTGAAAACTATTGCTTCATGACATCCGAAGCATTTTCATCTTTGGACTATAAACTGAAAATGCTCAGACTATAAGGCGCACTGGATTATAATGTGTTTTAAGCAAAACAAACTGACAACACTTGAGACTGATATTTTAACCCAGGCATACACGATCCATTGGCAGATTGTGGTGAAATTCTCCCCACGTTAACTCCCTGTCTTGGTGAATGTGTATGATTAATGTGAATGTGGGTGGATCATTCGAGTTTTTTTTTTATTTTTTTATTTCCTACAAGGATGACTCAAATATACATTCAGTGTGTGTTCATGTGTTTAATGCAGCTTTGCACACATTTGTTTAAATTTTACAGAAACTAAACTTAAAACCACATGGCTAATTTAAATAAAATGGTTTATAGCCCTGAAAAAACAGCTTGCTCCTTGTGCGCTGATGCGGTCAACTTCTGTCAGACTAACTCCTCGATGCTCGGTAGCCTTGATGCTCCAACAATCCATCAAGAGGTGCAGCTTCGTAGTTTACCAAAGTCGTAATAAAACATTTTGACAGATTTTTGAGCGCCGTGTACCGCATAAAATTGGTTTGAGGTAGAGGTGAGATCGGGCCTAAAAAATCCAGCCCGACCCGACCCGGCCCGCGGGTATTAAAACCCGACCCGGCCCGAGCCCGACCAATTAACTTGATTTGCAGGCCCGAGCCCGAAGCAAACCCGAAATGTCATATTTTATTTGTGAGGACTCGGGAGGAGGAGCAGTGCTCAGCGTCGAGGTGCCAGTCTTTTTGCTCTCGTATGAAAGCAAAGCCACATTGACGACATTCAGCGAAGCCAACGCAAGTTTCTGTAGCATTTTTCAACAATCAATTTGAAGCTTTTCCACACCTCACTCTTACCGGTGCGTGTTTGTCTTTTCAGTTCTCCTGCCTTTAGTTTAACTTCTTGCTCCTCCATATTGGGGATACCAGGTCAAAATAGATGCAGACTTGCGGAGGGGAAGATTATTAAATTAAGAGGGGGCGTTCACGTGCGCAGAGCTCTGGCTCTGCGGATCCTGTTTAGTAGTTAAATAGCAATTACATTACATTACTTCTCTGTTTTATCCATATTATTTATTTTATAACAAGTATTCCTTAGTTTAGTATCCACACATCGTTTTAGCATACATTTTATAAACATATATTTATTTGAAGCCCGAGCCCGACCCGACCCGACCCGAAGTAATGATTGACATTTTAGGCCCGACCCGACCCGAATTTTGGGTCGGGTCGGGCTTGGGCTCGGTCTTAAGATCTTACCTCTAGTTTGAGGTCAGTAAGCACAACCAGAATTAATACATAAGGTGCACTGTCGAGTTTTGAGAAAATTAAAGGATTTTAAGTGCGCCTTATAGTCTGAAAAATATGGTAATAATAAAGGGTTACTCAAACATGTGTGAATGAAACAAAACACAACTCCAGATATGTTTTTGATGTGATAACAGCATGACTAAAAGCTCACAAGTGTCCATTTTCCGTAATATATGAACTTTAATTGAAATTTTTATATTTTTTATCTTCAGAAAAACACTTTATGGCCTGATTTATCATTGACTCATTAAAGAACCCATAAAACTATATAACTGCAACTACTATTAACATAAACCACAATAAATAAACAGAAATACTTTAAATGATTCACTCTCAGATGTGCTGACGAACTTCCCAATCAAACAATATGAAATCATGTGTTTTGCTCTACATTTGCTTGTTATTTTCCCCTATAGACTCATTTAACCATCAAATGTTGGCCACTTCTTCTTGTGGTTTCTTCACTGCCTCATTTCTGGGTTAATTGTGCTTCATTCATCATTGCACATATTGTCCACATATGAACATTCCCAAACACATCTGCCAAGCCTGTGCCATAAAAATATGCTGCCTGGGCATTAATGAGATCACAGACACACTGCAAAATCTACATAAATTAAAATAGCTTCATTTTTTTCTTGATTTTAAAGGTGCACTGTGTGGACGGTCCTGGAGGGTAAACGTGGTGACACCAATGGAGACAGATAATGGTCAGATCTATGGAGAAACAAGCCTGCACGTGGTAAGAATTCATGTTTTTACGATATTTTTGAGCTATAAAACACCTGTAACTGAACAAATGCAAGGGAGATATGTTTAATGCCCTACTGTGGAACATTCCAGGCAAAGAAATAACATCTCCATGGAGACAAGCAGATTGCAGACCAAGTTGAAGCTACACAAAGTAAAATGCCTTTAAAATTATGCTTTAAGATTATAATAAATAGTAAAAGATGATGAAAGGAAATGATGATGGCAAAAAAATAAAAACTAAATAACTAAAAATGTTATTTAAAAATGTGAGATAAAAGGAATTTAAATTATAAATTGGCCAAAATATCAATAAAAGGAGGCCTAGCTGTACGGTTATGCTGCACTACCACATTACTTTTGTTTTATTTAATGAAATTTGTGTCGGTAAAAAAGTAAAATGTTTTTAATTTAAAGGTGCATCGTGTAACATTTATGGTGAAACTTTTTGCCACCTGCTTGTCTCCATGGAAATGTTATTGCTTTGACTGGAATGTTTCACAGTAATAATAATAATAATAATAATACATAACACTTGTATAGCGCTTTTCAAGATACCCAAAGACGCTTTATATGGGAAGACAAACAATGACAAACAAGAGAAAAGACAGTTAGTGAAAGTTTTGGGTTTTCAGGGCTTTTTTAAACATGGGGAGTGTGGATGAGTCTCTGATGTGTTTGGGCAGGGAGTTCCAGAGGGTGTGAGCAGCGGCGGAGAAGGCCCGGTCCCCCCAGGTATGACATTAATTAAACCTTTGTGTCTTCATGGAGACCAAACAAGATCAAATTACAGGTCAGATCTGTGGAGAGTAGGGGTGTAACGATATCCAAGCCTCATGATACGATATCGTCACGGTATGAAACTCACTGTACGATATTTATTGCGATACTGTGGGAAAGCTCACGATACGGCAGGGAGGCTCACGATTAGGGATGTAACAATATGCAAATCTCTCGGTACGATATTTTCACGACATACATCACACGGTACGATATTTATTGCGATGTTTTGTGGAAGATGCAACTTTTTCCTCTTAAAATGTCTTGACAAGACTTAATCCAAAGAACTAAGACTTAAAAGTGCTTAGAACTGTTATTTCTTCATGTAGTTTACGCTGAAATGGAGCAAAGGATCATGGTCTATGTAGTTCCCTCTGTTTTTTTTAGCTATTGCTGCACCATAACTCTTAATTTAAGCAAAGAGACTTGTAATTCGATATATTGTGATGGTCCACGATATTATTGTGAGAAATTTGACGATACCATATCACGATATTTCGGTTATTGTTACATTCTCACAGTCAGAATGAATTTTTCTGGGTATTTTTGAGCTCTAAAATGACCTGTAATCGAAGTAAATAGAACTGTTTAATGTCATACTGTGGGACATTTGAGGCAGAGCAATGAAATATCCATAAAAACAAGCAGGTGGTGGACCCACATAGTGCACCATTAAGTACTTTTAACGTACAAAGATATTACTTTTTGCCGTGTATTAAAGAACATAATCGGATTTGATCGTTAGTGGAGCTTGGTGGTGGATTGACGCTGATCCATGTGTACGCGAATCTGGGCTTACGTGCTAGAAATGCTAACGCTTAAGTCTTTGGGGGATCAACTGTTTTGGTGGGTCGGCCTTGGTTTGAATGTGCGCCCCAGATGTTAGCGCTAATCAAAGGCGCCCACAGCTGCAGAATACGAGCCTGTGAGAAGAGGAAGCGCCCCTCTCGTCCGTATCCTTCCGCCGTCTGTAGAAAACAAAGTGCTCCCAAACGGTGGCGATCGGGAGCCCAGCGTCACCACGTCCTAATTCAGGCAACTCACTTCCTCCACACACAATCACATTTGTAACATGGGAGCATTGTGTGTGTCAGACTCCTTCCCAAAAGCTGAAGTAGGTTTAAGGCCTGTGCCAAAAAGAAACTGGCAACAGAAACAGGTGAAAATGTTAAACGTTGTGCATTGTGTAACTTT